GAGAGAGCAGTGGAAGGAAAGAGAGAAATACAATAATGATAATAATTATACCTTCACACGTAATGAGCAGAGCCTACGGGCCGCGGTGTGTAACAGCTGGGCCTGGGAGCTGTCAGACGGCGAGATAGTGAGTGAGCGCTCGCTGCTAACCAAAGGCAGATGTGAATTATAGCTTGTGACACATAGCTGCGCGGTTAGTAACAGGCCGGGGGCGGCCGGGGGTCTAAAGATCTTAATATGCTGTTGCAGGACTCCTTTTCCAAGAGCTGAAATCTGCGTCAGAGCTCGAAGTTGTGCAGCTACATTTTTATATAAAGTGCGCCTGCGGGAAGCAATTCACCTAAATGTTGTACTCGCTAACGGGCAAATAACAGCTTCTTTATAACCGCGTTCATCATTAGTGTGTTCATCAAATTAAACCCGTTGTTGATGAATGTGATACTGCACTGATTTACAGTCTGTGTGCATGAACACGGCCGGATAATGACAGGGTGAACGCTGCGGGCCACATCAGGGCACAGATAAGAGAACTGACTCGTAGTTCTGGTGCCTTCAGGTTCTGTTTGTTTGTGTCACACAGTCTCTCTTAATCAAACACACACACACACGTGGAATAAAGTGAGCTGTATACAGACTGAAGCTAAACACACAATGACTCACAGAGCTGGTTGACAACACTGGCCCAAAAATAATGTGATTGAATTACTTAAACTATCAGAATTTGATCCATTGAGTCTGAAAACATTTATAAACGCTACAAGAGCTGCACCATTAAATCATTTTATCCTCATATTATATTCAATAAATTGTTGTTGTAGCATTCACTTCATGTGTTCATGTGCTCTACACTACATTGACAGACAGAATATGCAAACACTTATGCATACACTGAGAGAGACAATGCCTAACCCTAACCCTATACCCTATTTATTCTAACGTACACTAATAAAGAACGAGAGGAGAAGGTTGGTTGTATCATGACTGTGAGCTCCTCCATTGAAACTCGAGTAAACTATAAATACTCTTTACTTGGGTGGGTAATCAAGTACTCTTTAAACCCCAAACCAACACACACACACACACACACACACACACACACACACACAGATCCCAACTTCTCTGCAGAACGGTGATCTCATGCACATTGCATCTGGCCTCAAGTGGTCATAATGGAGCAAGTCTCCAGGCAGACCATGTTTTCTACATTAGCCCTTTTTGCTTGAGCTTGTGACAGTCAGTAATATGCGTCTTACTCATCCACCGTGGTGTTAAGACCTTTCAGAGTTTAACGTTCATGTGTGTGTGTGATGAATTGAGGTTTGCATCACGTCATATTTACCCGTATCCATCCATCTTTCCATTCATACATACATATTACCAATCATATCTGCACAACGCACAGCACGGCAGGATGACGAATGACTCGTTTAAACTTTTATATATATGCAACCAGACACAGACACCCTCCAAAAGACACAGTTTCATCAATATGTTTTGTTCCTTTTAAATAAAATCACATGTGCAGGTCTTTGCAGCAGTTCCCACTAGATAATTAAGTTGTGTAAAATGTGACTGTGTGTGTGAGAGAGATGAGAACACACACAGAATACACAGAATGGGAAGAGCAAAGCCGGACCAACTGTTTTCATTCAAACAGCAGATCCAGCCAGTCACATCTGCACGGTCCAAACGGTGGACAACAACGACACCTAGTGGCAGAACAACAGAGGGTCACGTCTGCTGATAATTTATTGAACATAATTAACACTTGACTCATGAGCTAATCTATTTATTTTTGCATTCCTCCCATGATGATTGAACCACGTTGTGGTGTTTTTAAGATGAATTTGACCACATGATATCGCTCTTTTTAACTGAAATTGGTCCCAGGGTAAAATTCAAGTCTCCTGAAAACAGCTTGAAGACAGAAAAAAGGCAGACGTTTGTCTGACTTATAGTATTATTTTCATCTTTATTTCTGCTTTAATGTGGGATATGATATTTGATAAGTAAATTATGGATAATATGTCTTTCTTGGTAATAAAAAATGTGGGTTTAAAATGTGAAAATAACCTAATGTATCCCATTGTTCCCAGTATTTACTTTCTGTGTGTCTATTGTGAATGTAAGGGACCTTACTATAGTCTGTTTTATTGTATGTTTCTATGGTGACTCTATATTAAACGTATTGAGTTGTAATGTATTTAACTTTAAATTTAAAGATGTTGAAGTGTAATTATTTTAGTAAAGGACTCATCTGGTCACAGTTTACATCATAAGTCTTCTGTTGTTAATATTTAACTGTAATAAAACTTGTGGGTAAACATACAGTAGCTCAGTATCAAAAGACTGCTCCAGGTGAGGCTCGAACTCACAACCTCGGCATTGCTCTACAGTGTACTGTCATATAAGTACCGCGCGCTAACCGATTGCGCCACTGGAGCTCACTGCCTTCCCGCTACAGTTGGGTTTATAAACCGTCAGCACCGAACCGACTGGACCTTATTGTTTCTGTTTTATTTATTCTTTAACGTCGTTTAACTTCTTCACACTAACGTTTCTCTGTGATATCACAGCACCAACAGACCATAATAATGGAATTACAGATATTTTGTTACAAAAAAATAAATAAAACAAACATGGCAGCGTATCAAAACAGGAAGTTATCGAGCAGAAAAACGCCAATAAAATGACAAACAGCGCCGTAATGGACTCAGTTAATGGACTCATAGTCTGTCTGTAGTGTCTGTCCTCGTCCTCCCAGCTACAGACAGCGGGGACTGGAGGGAGGGTCGGTGATGTCATTATTACAGACACCGAGAGGCACGAGGAAGGACCGCAAGAGGAAGTACCGACAGCTCAGTTCCCCCTGCTGGGGATGTTTATCTACCACAATAATAATATAATAATAATAATAATAATAATAATAATAATAATATTAATATTAATATTAATAATAATAATATAATAATAATAATAATAATAATACAATAATAATAATAATAATAATATAATAATAATAATAATAATAATAATAATAATATTAATAATAATAATAATAATATTAATAATAATAATAATAATAATAATAATAATAATAACAATAATATAATAATAATAATAATAATAATAATAATATTAATAATAATAATAATAATAATATAATATTAATAATAATAATAATAATAATAATAATAATAATATTAATAATAATAATATAATATTAATAATAATAATAATAATAATAATAAATAATATAATAATAATAATAATAATAATAATAATAATAATATTAATAATAATAATATAATAATAATAATAATGAATAATAATAATAATAATAATAATACTGAATAATAATAATAATAATAATAATAATAATAATAATGAATAATAACACTGATATAATATAATATAATAATAATATAATATAATAATAGAATAATATAATATACTGAATAATAATAATACTGAATAATAATAATAATATAATATAATATAATAATAATACTGAATAATAATAATAACAATAATAATAATGAATAATAATAATAATAATACTGAATAATAATAATATAATATAATATAATAATAATACTGAATAATAATAATAATAATAATAATAATATAATAAGAAAAATAATAATGAATAATAATAATAATAATAATAATAATAATACTGAATAATAATAATAATAATAATAATAATAATAATAATAATAATAATAATAATAATAATAATAATAATATAAAAATAATAAAATATAATAAAAAAAAAAAAAAAAAAAAAAAAAAGAACAATAATAACTACTATCTATCTATCTATCTATCTATCTATCTATCTATCTATCTATCTATCTATCTATCTATCTATCTATCTATCTATCTATCTATCTATCTATCTGTTTTCATGGGTATACTTCCACATATATTCACTGTCCTGACTGTGTGTGTCTGTTTTCTTCTGCTTTGTTAATGTGTTATGGTTGTTGTGTTCATGTGCCCAGTGTACAGCTGAAGTTCACTATGCAGAAACAAAATGCATCGTCCCTTTGGCATTGTGTGAGCACTGCAAGTCAAAATGTTTAGATGTTTTGTCACTATGGCAGAGGACCATTGAAATATCCCTCATGTCCACCTCTCAGTCTCAGCCCAGTCCTTCATTCACAATGGTTACTGGACTAGTGTTTTTGTCTAGCTAACAGAATACAATTGTGTATAAAACTGAAAAAATAAAAATAAAAAAACAGGATTTTAGGGTAAGAGTAGCCTCTAAGGTTTGACATCACACATTGCACTCACACAGTAACCTCCATATCAGAGTAAAGATGTATAAAGCATAATATACTGTTATATAAACACATAAACAAAAACAAGGACAATGTAGCCTACAGTGCTGTAAATAAATACAGTATATGGTATTCATGGTTTTATGTTGACTCATTCTGACCATTGAACAGACTATGTGATGACTTATAGAATGCAATGATGCTGACATGTTTTGGAGAGAACAACCATTAGACTGAGAATCAATCAATCAGTTTAGATCAACAGGATCTATTCAATTGGAAATTGTACTAACTGTAGGCTAACTGTACTAAGACATTTGCAATGTGATGAAATCAATGAGAAATTCTGTTGTGAACAATTGCCCAGTGGTTTGGAGGTTTGTCCATGTTGTTTTGAGAATGTAATTTCTGTTTCAAGAAATGAGCCAAAGGAGAACAACTGTAATGTGTTCATGGTTGTTTTTAGTCTTAGAAGGCGATAAAGTATCTCTAATTAACATTTATGATATTTTCAAATTAAACATCTCTGACTTACACAGTTTGTAAAAGTTCTGCACATTTCCACATAACTTTACCTTTCAACTGTCCACAAACAAACAATGAAAATAAAAAAGAATAAACATCTTATCCCTTCATTATCATAAACATCTCTGAGAACAGCATCAGATAGATATTATATATAGAGAAAAACAGCCAACAAATTAACAAACATTTAAGTTTTCCTGCTTTTATTCACATTCACATCCATTTTATACAGTTTGAACATAAATATTGTACATTGCAGTGACTCCACTGTATTTATTACACTGTTATACACACTCCTGCAACATTCATCAACACACTCAGACTGAAGTATAAAGCACTTACTGGAGTTTAAATGTTTAACATTTGAAAGAAAATTAACATAATATTCTTATGTATGTTTTCATTAGTGTATCATTTCTTTACAATAAGCTGTTATTATCTACAGAGAGTTCGCCATGTTGCACAAACACTGGATCGAGATAGGGAATTTCATCACTGTTTCTCCTCCACACTGGACCATTAAACAGGTTGGTGGCAGTGTTAGGATTAAACCATTATAAAGTAACATGTTACTGTAATTCCACTACTTTTGGTGTCAACTAGTAATGTAACTAATTAATTAACGTTTACATAGTGAAGAACTGCAGAAGACGGCAGACAAACACCGAGTGCATCTCGCTGATTTTCCAGTTTATGATCTAAATCATTAGTGATTATTTAAATTGTGGGTTGTATAAAGAGAAGTGGAGGCAGTGTTGGAAAGCCTCTACTGCGCGGGCTCTATGGGCTACAGTGGCCCTAACTTCCTGTTTAGCCTGTTTAGAGATAAATAACTTAATCTTTCAGATATTCTAGACTTTTAAAATGTCATTTTACAGGCGGTTGTGCTGCTCTTCTTTCACACTGTAACTTTATGGGCTGTACTTACATGGTTCGGCCACTATGTCAAAGCCTGGCGCTCTTCCTGGGGGCTTGGTTTACATCGGTATGGGTTTTGGTTGCTGCCCCCTGGTGGTCGGGAGTATTAACAACTAAATAATATATATAATATAACAGTGCAAGAGCACAGAAGCAGACGTGCAGCAGAGAAACGTTTCTTTAGTAACTGATTACTTTTATATACAGTAAGTAGTAAAGTTCTTCAATTACTTTTGAGAGAAGTAACCAGTAACTGTAAGTAATTACTGTTTTTCAGTAACCTTCTGAACACTTGTTGTGAGTTACCGTCAGAGTGGCTCAGCATCTTCCTCAAGGCATCAGTAATCTGATAGTTTGTGCTGTTCAGCAGTCACTGTGTTGTCTGCTCTGGCATTGTTCTTCACATAGCCCAGGTGGCTAAAGAAGCTCTTGAAGGCATCACGAAACATGGAGCTACAGAAAGCGTAGACGATAGGGTCCAGAGCGCTGTTGAAGTAGGTGAAGCCGATGCACAGGACAAATACCCGGGTGATCTGATTGTAGGACATGCAGTCCTTTGGGTGGAAATATTTGATGTACACGCCGCCGAGGCCTGTGAGGACGCTGGGCATGAAGCAGAAGGTGAACACCAAAGTGATCACCCCAACTGCTAGGATGGCCCTCCGTACCTTCTTCTGCCCGCCCACCTGCCGCTTGAGCAGAAAGCAGGTAATCCGGGCTGAGCAGAACAGCAACAAGAACCAGGGCAGCAAGAACTCCACAGTGAAGGCCACGTAGTGCAGTTTTATCACCAAAGGGACTACGGTGTAGGAGCTGAAGCTGCGACACAGGGAGATGTTGCCATGCTGGCGTAGGAGGTTGATGGTCAACAGCGGAGTCCGAAGGGCGATCACAGCCATCCACATCAGGCCTGAGAGCAAGGCCGACTGAGTTAAAGTAATCCGGCTGACGCAGTGAAGTGGATGGACCACTTTGAAGTAGCGATCCACTGCCACGGCTGTCATGAATGCAATGCTGGCAGAGCGATTGACAGACAGCATGAAGAGGTTGATGCGGCACCAGGTTGGTCCAAACACCCAGTTCTCCCCTCGGAGGTTGGCGTCGATGCGGAAAGGCACACTCATGAGGAGCAGGAAGTCAGCCAGAACCAGGTTGAAGAGGAAGAGAGTGTGGGGTTTCCAATATTTCATGTGGAAACAGAAAATGCACAAAGCCACGATGTTTGCTGGCAGGCCCACGACAATCTCCAGGATCATCAAAATACGCTGGAACAGAGTTCCAAGATCTTGCGTGGGCAGCATTGAGCAGTGCATCAAAGTTTTATTCATCATCTCGGTGGCACCAGTCGAATTCATTTCAGCTGTGAACGCAGTCCGATCTCTCTGGTTAATCAACTGCTCCTTATTTTAAGAAGATCCTTTGTTCAAGAGAAGAGAAGGAGAGAGGAAAATGTTATTTTATAGATCAAACAGCTAAAGCAAAAGTGTGACATTTTGGTGAATGCATGTAACCGATGCTGCGTTTCAGTAGTCGCTCAATATGCATTCATTGTGACTTCCTAACAACACATTAGTGTAATTGTGCCAGAGTTAATGAGCTAATTGTCAAACTCAGACACCAAACTCAGATCAAGTTGTCAAACTAGGCAGTGCTGATCAGATATGGATCCAGACTGTGTTACTGCGTTGACTATTTCTCTTCAGAAACATACTTTAGTGGCCTGTTTATCTGGAATACAAGAACTGGAACTTTTAATAAAGGCAGCCTGTGTGTTGCAGCACTTATTCCCAAAGGCTTCTCTCTGATCTACTGTGATATGTCATCTGTACATTGCTTCATTAGTTAACATTCAATATTTCAGTGTAAAAACAGCAAGTTACTACAGTTTATGTGCAGGACTCTTTGGACCTTCTCCTTGTCATTCTTGTCATTACTGTGAGGTTGCCAAACGGCCAGCAGAAATCCACCTACCAGCTTAAAGCCAGGCTCAGACTGCAGGAGTTTTGGGGGCATGAGGTGGAGTATTGCTCTCTCTGGGTGTGATGCATCATTATTTTCAAATGCTGTAAGTGTGTGCATGCTTGAGATTATCCAAGAAAATCTGAAAAGTGCAACCTAATCTCAAAATTGGTTACGATTTTAAAACACCTGCAGTCTGAGTCCAGCTCCAGAGTCCAGCTCCAGAGTGGCTGGTCAGCAGAGTTAGTTTGGACGGCTGTTTCCACGTATCTCCAGTCTTTCTGCTACCCTATGCTAACAGGCTTCTGGCTGCAGCTTCGTATTTAGGAGACAGACATGAGAGTGGTATCAATCTTCCCATATATGCGTTGAGTTGTATATGAGTTGTGTAAATGCAGACATACATATTAATGGCTGAGCAGTCTCAAGTATTTGCTCCAAAAGTTTGAAAATTCAGACAGTTTGTGACTTTTGCGACACTTCTGCTGTGGCAGATCTGCGGATGCGTGTGCAGATTTGTGTGTGTGTAGAGAGATTTGTCCACATTTACAAATCTGATTACGCACACACAGATTGAGACACAGTGACACAACTCTCCATACACATTTATGAATAGTTATGCTACAATAATAGCTTCATACTACGGGCTCTACCGGTTTCACAGCCCTTGAAAATAAGGATGTTGCCCATGTGCTATACCTTAAAAACAAATGATAGTGTGTCATTTTCCAACTGAGAAAACATAAAGTGACATTTAAGCCAAAACACGTTCGTTCAGGACTTTTACAATATTTAATTAAAGGTGTGAAACTGTAGCTGACTGAAGTTTGCTGTCTCGTGTCTGTTTATATATTATGAAACACTGTATAGTGCAACTGCCTTCCTAATGCATTGTTAGTGCTGAGATACACCAGTGGAAGAAGATCAGTTCAGCCATACAGAAAACTGAAAAAGTTAAAATTTCAGCACTCACCTGAAGTCAACACTGAAACCCTCGATCTCCTCTTAAAGATCTGAACACCTTCTTTTTGAGAGGTCAGAGTCGTCTCATTGTTCATTCTGCAAACGAGGACAAAAACGCAAACAAATTCCTCAAATAGTGAAAAGTGATCTGATGGGATGAGATCCACCCGCAGTATAAAAGCTGGCGTCCTCCGAGGGCTTGTCACAACATGAGGGTAATGATGGTTCCAGAGAGTCTCTGACACAGTCACTTCTGGTATCTTAGTTTATCAGAGTTTATGTAACCACCCATAGAATCATCTTCATCACTTTATCACATTCTTTTGCTAAATGTTAGGCTTAAGTACCTTTATTCATTGTCCTATTATTTTTGGTTCATGGTTCTTGTTTTGATTAGGTTCATTTGCATGCAAGTTCCCTCCATTGTCTTGTGTCGTGTCACGTGTGTCCTCACGTTGGTCACTTGTATTGCAGTTTAAAATATAAATACAGTCTGCAGTGGTCTGGTCCCTTTCTGTCTCAAATCAGTTCGTCACATCGAATTTCTGGACTGATTTTATGACATTTCACTTCATCTACTCTTGAATCCTCTCATTTCATTTAAATATTCCTCTTCTACCTCAGCTCAGCTCTTTTTACCCAGTTTTAACGGACCTTATCACATTCCTCCTGATCATATTTCACTTCCTCCAGGAAGTTGCGATTAAGGCAATGTCAGCCAATCCCCCGTGAATTCTGCACAACCTTTCCGCAATTTCACCAAAAGAGCAAACTACACTTTGCAGTTTTCTCCCAAAAATATCCAAACAACATGCAGTTTTTGCATCCCAATTAAAATCTGTGAAATCAGACATTTTAGGCATTGGCATTGGAGTTACTGATAGTTTAACTTCTCACCTCGAGTCCTCGTCCAGGTCCATCTCATCTGCTCAGATTCTCTCTCATCTCATCTCATCTCATCTCATCTCATTAACTTTATTTGTAAAGCACAGTCTTACAAAGAATTTACAATAAAGAATAAGAAAAGCAATATATGAGGTTAAAAAAACAGGCAACATGGGTAATGGTGTTTTAAAGGATAAAACAGATTCAGCCTAATTTCCTCAGGTAGGCCGTTCCAAAGTACAGGTGCTCTAATAGAGACAGTCTCCTTTAGACTTGATCCTGGACTGTGGAACCACCAAAGGGTCCTTTCCTGAGGATCTTAGGTTGTGTTTTGGCTCATAAAGAGTTAAAAGGTTAGAAATATAACTGGGGGCTAGACCTGTCTGAGCTCTAAAAGGAATCCGTAAGATCAATTCTAAATCCTGCTGGTAGTCGGTGCAGATGGTCTCTATGTTTAGTTCTATAGTTGGAGACGTGAGATTGTTTTTTCTTTTGACTGAGGCAGGTAGAGAGAGAGCTGCAGTATTTCAGATGTGATGAAATAAAAGCATGAATTACTTTCTTTAGATCAGCACGGGATAAAAATGACGGAGGAGGCAGGAAGCTCATCACATCTGATCTTCTCTCAACTAAACTCATCACATCTCAATTCATCAAATCTTTGTTCATCTCAGTTCCTGTTCGGGTTCCTTCAGTTCACCACAGCTGACCGACTCCACGCTGATGATGAGGGACCTGTAAAAGGGCAACGAGTGAAGGCTCACTGTGCTTCCTGAGAGACAGAACGCTAATTTCCCTAACTAAACTTTGTTTGGTGTTAATTCATTACACAGCAATGCAAAACACACACACACACACACACACACAGAGTCAGCCCAGCTCACCGGTGTGTGAACAGTCCGACCTTTGTCAGCTCGATAACTTTATGGTCAGTGACTCCTATACAGTGAAGCGGTCCCCCTTCCCAGCCCTAAAGGTGTGTTTGCTAGTATCACTGGACTCTGATCTAAAGGTCCGCCATTCATCAAACTGTTTTATCAGAGTACAGGCAAAACAAACACACAGGACCCTGCAGTGGCACCATGTGAGGACCGACATCTGCTCCCAGAGACTCTTTATGGGTACAGTGTGCGCTGTGCATGTGTCAGACTACCGGCAGAGCTCTGCATCCATGTTTATATTATACAGTATGTGTGTGTTGGCGGCTTTCTCTGCACGAGTCTGGCTGTTGCTGCTTATTGAGTGAGTCCTAGTTACTCATTTTTATAATTGCAGATAAATGACTAATAGCAGTCTTTATTAGGTGTCATAAATCTCTTTACTGTGGCCAAAACGGTCATCTGCTTCAAAACATTTACAGAGAGGCGTTAACGTTAACACGTTATTATATAACGATATTTCAATATTACAGTAATCAAATATGGCACCATGCAAAGCTCACATATAATATGACTATGGAAATGCAATTCAATTAAAAAAAACAGGTCGTATAGCTGTATGTCTCAACATGCTGACCTGCAACATGACTCACTAATGTGGTGATCTAACTTACTTTTTATTATCAAAACAGATTCAAAAGCCAAAAATATTCAGTTTTTTACAAGACAAACTTAAACAATTTAGTACAAACAATGACATAAATCATAAGTCTCAAATATGTCCGTGCAAATGTACAAAACATAGACTGCTGGTGTGCCGGGAACAAACATTTGAAAGCTGTTCTTCCATCTATCATTAAGTGTATATTTTAGGTAGCTTCCCCGACACACCTTCCCACTGTGCCTCACTGATAACCCCAGCGCTCGCCCTCCATAAGAAACATATTTGCACTCTTTCTTTACGTGTAAAAGAAACCATTCATGCAGCCACACTTTCCCACTGTGGGATCAATACTTTTATTGATACTACATGCACACACCCACACACTGCTTCTCTTCCTCAGGTGGTCCAGGTCTGCTACCTGGGTCTGTCCCTTATTGGTTCACAACCTCAGCCTGTGACAGAGACATCACTGTCTCACTCTGATAACATGGAGCCGCTTAATGTTTAGCCCAAGATCCACACACACACACACACACACACACACACACACACAGGGAAGCAGTAGGATTACAAAGGTACAGAGACCCATATGCTGCCCACGGATGGAGGCGAGACAGAGAACGCGAGGTAGCAATGACCGAGGTGAGAATTATTACAGTTTATTAATGTTTGTTGTGTTTAATGACTGTAGGACATCACACACTTTGAGGTGTAATGGAGTATTTGTTGTCACTGCATCCTAATCTCAGTTGAAGTTGGTTGAGTGATGGATTCAGTGCTGCTGTGAGATTTGTTGGCTCTTTTATTTTGAGGAGAAAATCATTAAATGACGGTCAGTGAGTTGATTTAGCTTCAACTAACGTCACTCTTTTCAAGTGTAGAGTGAAAACCTGTTGATTGTGAGATTGTCCAAGTCTTTAGTTTGTCAAGCTGAGCTGTTAATCCACATTAGAGCCTTTACACTGTGTGTCCTGTGGAGGAGGGTTGACACAGAACTGCATTAGAGGGATTATAATGTGGAGGAGAATATCTAGGGGGAAAAAAGTCTTCAAAAAATAAATATTATTACCTGGAAAAATTGTTTGAAATTGTAAATAATTATAAAATGACTATTTATTTAAAGAAAATGTCCTTTTATACATAACGTTTTTTAAATAAATTTGCAAATCTGTCATTTTTTGGCTGTTTATTTAATAGATTAAACTGTTAAACTGAAGTTTAATACTGTTAGTACAGTTACAGTGTATCCTGTGTTTGTTTAATTTGAAGATAGTGAAAAATAATGCTAAAAACACAGTTTTCTTTATAGAGTTTGGTACAATTTCACCCATTTAAAAGCAATTAAAAGGAAAAGATTAATTCTTTAGACTGGAGAATTTAATGATCAACAGTGTCAATAATACAACTCTAAGTAAGAAAGATATTGAAAACATTACCCCCTTTATCCAAATCATTTCTATAACAAACTGCATCTCATTATTACAGTAATTATTCTCTCTTAAGCGCCCGTTTTAATCACAATGCTTCGCTTCATTTGTAGTCGGTGGAAGGAACAATTCATAATCCCAGTGTAAACAAACCTGTGGTCCAAAGCACGGGCCTGCTCGCTGCTATCACTCCAAAATAACTGACAGGTTTTTAATGTAGGAACTAACAACAGACAACAGACTGGATCCTGTTTGAGGTTCCAGTCGGCTTTACACAAAGAGACCAACAGAGTACTTTTATACTTTATTTCAGAGCCTGTACATTTACACTTTTACTCGAGTAAAGAAGTTGAATCAGTAGTTCTACTTTTACGTCAGTCCTTTTTAAAGAATGTGTGTACTTTTGCCACCTCTGCCTTCATGTGCAACAGTTTTTATCTCCGATTAAATATGGTGATAAATATATTGATAGGGCAACACAGTTCTGTACTTCCTGACGTAGTCGCTGATTTTACTTTAACTTAAGTGTGTTTTAACTGAAAGAAATAGTTCCACACTTTGGGAGATGTGCTGATTTGCATAGTAAATAAAAAAAAATTTAGTGATGGATTCTCTCCTTGAAATCAAGCATTTAAGTGTTTTTCTTAATAAATCAGACACTGATGGTGCATCGCTGTATTGTACCTCACAGCATGTTTGATTTTCAAGCAGTCACACGTTTGTTTTTGTGTTTCACTTTGGCCACGTTTAGATATCCTATAAAACTCTCCAAACGGGCCAGAATCGTACAGTAATGATGTTTCTCTGTGACAGGGACTGGGGTTGAGGATGAAGCCCCAGCAGAGCCACGTGGGAGCCTCTTGGGTCGCCCTCTCTCGGCTGTAGTTCGTCTCTACGTGTACGCGCTGCACGGCTGCCTCTGTGAGGTGGCCTTCACCGCTGTGTGGGACTGGTGCAGCACCCAGGACAAGAGGCTGGCAGGGCACAGCAGCCTGTGGGCGCTGCCTATGTACGCCACTGCAATCTACCTCATTGAGAGGCTGAGAGGCCGGCTGCTGGCTCATCATCTCCCACTGCCAGTGCGTCTGGTGGCCTACACCGGGTTCATCTACCTATGGGAGTTCAGCTGGGGGGCGGGGCTGAGGCTGCTGGGGGCCTGTCCCTGGGACTACTCCGGGTTCAGGTACAACCTGGGAGGACTGGTGACGCTGGAGTACGCTGTGCCCTGGGCTGTGGCAGCATTTATAGCAGAGCAGCATGTGATCAGGAACACTCTGAGGATCAGACTGAACTGAATCTGGAATCATGTGCTTCCAAAGGCAACTACAGAGCATTTATGGACATTTTTGTTTAGGAACAACACCAGTGTGAGTTTTTGACTTCATAAAGTTGCTGCACCCTCCTTATCTCATTTCTACCTTTGAGCTCTCAGTTTGGTAGCTTAATGCAACTGACAGCTTTAAATTCATCGTTTGCTTTCTTCTCTCTGGTGTCTGTTGTAAATGTGTAGCTGCAGCCAGCAACCTGTTAGCTTAGCTTAGCATAAAGACTGGAAACGGGGTGAAACAGCTAGCCTAGCTCTGTCCACCTACCAGCTGTAGCTGTCAGGCTGTTTGCCCCTCTATCCACTCTTTATGCTAAGATAAGACAACCGGCCTCTGACTGTTGTCTCATGTTTACTGTAAAGACACGAGAGTGGTATTAATCTTCTCATCTAACTCTAACAAAGTTTGTTTTTTTACAAAATGTTGTACTGTTCCTTCAAGAGGTTTAAATTTGATGGAATTCATTAAATAACAGACATTTAGTAAAACGACGTATTGCAGCAGAAATGTGTCACTGTAACCTTTAAACTTCACTGACGCTGAAAACAAAAAGGGTTGTTTGATTAAATCATAAATGTACTGTAACACAAAGGTGCACATTATTCCTACATTCTTTATAACAGACCTTAAAACTAAACCAAAAAGCATCCCAGCGTCTACAGAAACACAGGAAATCCCTGCAATATATTATAATATTAAAGCTGGCTGTGAAGAAACTGCAGCCACGCCACAGTCTGTGGGAAAATACATGTAAGCAGTGTTAAGTCATGCCCCGTCGGTTCTGGGATTCTACCGTCACAATTACATTGTGTTGATCAAATAACAATCTGGCGAGAGGAACTTGGCATCCAGTGTTTGAATATCATCAACTGCTTGTTAACTTGTTGAAGCCTGCATTGAATGCGTGGACTGTGGTGTATTGACATTTTTAGGGGGTTGATAACAGTGGTAGTCATTTTCCTGCTCAACTTCCAGAGAAAATGAGTTTTAAGGCGGTTGGATTATGGGAAGCTTTGTGACGCAGTTCCTGTGTGAAAGCCTCATTTCATTGTTTTCAAGGGGAATCCAACCATAATAATAATAATAATCATATAGAAATAGCCAACCTTTTTCCTGATTGTCTTGTTTGTTTATGTAGGTTATAAAGAGCAGTGGTTCCCAACCTGGGGCTCAGCACCCCCACTTAGGGTCGCCCATGCTTCACAGGGGGGTCGCAAGGTCTTCTTGATTTTACTCAGTAAGCCTATATCTTAAGATTTCGTTACTAAATGAAATTGTTATATCATTTCTGAAAGAGCAGCCTTTTAAGTATGTATGATTGTTAAAAAGATACCATTAAAATGACATAATGCTGACAAAATGTTAAAAAAAGTTCCTAAAAATATCAGAAGAATTAATCCAAATCTCTGGTTTTACACAAACTTCCTGCAGTTACTGTTTGGGATCATTGTACAGTTCATCAGCTGTTATGTACTGTTACTGTTATGCATTGAATATAAGATGAAATATGCATAAAATATGTCATTCAGTCAGTTTACTCAATGATAGAAAAGGAAGGGAAATGTTGGGAACCACTCATATAGAGACATTCAATTGAGACTATTTTATTATAAGTTAAAAACTCCTAAATGATCACGACTCACAATTTAATCTCAGATATTTATTTGTTTGATTCCTCTCATGAGTAAAGCTACAGGAGCTCCCTGATAGCTCACCTGTAGTGTACCAAGGCTGATTCCTTGCTGCAGCAGCACAGTGTTCAGATCTGACCTGTGGCTCTTTGCTGTGTGTCCCCCCCCCCTCTCTCCATCCATATCCATATCCTATCCACTGTACTTCATTGCCAGTATGGTGTGAAATAGGTCTTAAATTGCATTAATAATGGTCCTGAAAAGGTCTTAAAGTCCTACATTTAACCTGTGCAAACCTGCAACCTCCCCACATATAAAGAATACTGTATATTTAGTTTGTGTGTGTGTGTGTGTGTGACGTTCAGGGTCTCTTCCGCTCAGGGTTTTGGACCACAAACAGGGCAACAGTCCCCTCATCTCTCTGCCACTGGTAGCTACAGAAGAAGAAGAAGTTGTGTTAGAATTTTTTTGAATGGCCGAGTCAAAGAACCTCCTGAAAATCTGTTGATATCGGTTGATATTTAAACAATATAAATAAGATTAAAGAACAAAAAGTATCAGTGCTTTCAGATATAATAATATAAAATGAACTTTGTGTAATAATTTAATAATTAATTAAATTAATCATTAAATCTGAACACGTTTTTACCTAGTAATTGAAACAGTTTGTCATTAATTGTTAATATTGACTCACTGGGTGTGTTCGGGGATGAGTAAACTGTCTCCTGCAGCAAGACTGAACTCCTGTTGATTCATAGTGACTGTTGAAGAGCCCTCCTGAGAGACAGAGAGAGAATGGGATGATGAGAAGAAGACAGTTTGGTTGTTGCAGCACGCTACAGCAGGAACTGAACATTTAGAGAACGTACCATCTGCCAAATCCACACGTCGCTTTGGCGTACTGACGTCTCCGTACGGCCCGGTCCAAACACCATCGCCTGTCATCATAAGACGGAGAATTATTGCATTTCTTCCATATCCATATGTTAATTTAAAAAAATATCAGTCATGCATAATTCCTATACTATAGGTTCCATAAAAACTGTAAAAGTCAGTAAAACCACATTTTATATTCAATATTCCCATTTTCAATTGTTAACTGCAATAAAAACCTCAGGAGGAGAGTTTGATCTCTGCAGTTGCTGGTCAGGTGGCTGAAAAAATATCTCAAAGGGAATGAGAATCATCGATCTACAGTCTCTGTGTTCTGATTTCACAAGATCACTAGTAACAGCACAGAATGATGATACAAAGCACTGTATCTACTTACTTCACTGACTTTTTGACATGTTTCCAGCTAAACTTTAGGTTGTAGTTTGAAAGTTGACACTAGACTTTGCAAGTGTTCATTCGCGGTGGGTATTTAAAATGTTTCCCTGCTGCTCAATAGATCCTCCTAAATGTTACACACTGGACCTTTAACAGCTCTTAATACTGCAAGAAGAACACGATTCCTTGTACCTCGGTCTCAAACTGAACTCCGAACATGTCGATGGGCCCGCCACCGGCCAGGGCCGCCCTCTTTTTGTCCAGCCAGTCTTTGAAGGAGAAGGGGGACATCACGTTCATGGTGTTCATCTGGAACGGAGGCTCCCTGAAGACTTCATCTGTTCATCCAAACACATTTAAGTTAAAAAACTGACGATGAGCGATTAGGTTTTAGATGAAACACGAGAGACTCACTGGGATCAGGTTTTCCTGTTTTGCACTGCTTCGATGACATGAACCTGCAAATAAAGACAACCAACAACAACAAACTGGGTTAAACCAACCTGATGGACACTGATTGTGAACGTGTGGAACAACAGTGAAGGTCTTACCCTTTGATTATTGGCACCAGTTGGGTTCCGAGGTCCTGGCAGTAAAACCATCTCTCAAACAGCGTGTTGGTGGTGTTGTCCACGTAGTACCTGAAAGCACCAACACACGCTGGCGTCAGTGCTGCTTGGAACGTCTGTTTGTTACCTTCTCTCTGAATCCTACCGTTTATTTGGACATCTGGGATACAAATAGGAAGTCTTTCTCTTCCCAGAGTCATTTCTGCCAGCAGTGTTTTAAGACCAGTTAGGCAGTGCTCACAAGCTTTCACATAACTCTTAATGATTTCACACAATCATCACATAGAAAACAAGGTTTGTGGTTAAGATTTCATATCAAAGTTCGCTGCAAAGTACTTGAACATTGTGGCCCTCCTCCTATGAGATGATAAAGCCAGCTGTGGCCCCGAGCCAATGTGAGTTTGAGTCCCCCGCTCTAAAGTTTAGATTCTGCTGTCACTGTAATGTTAGTTTTCTTATCTGTCCTGCATCCTCTGATATAATTAAGAAGAAGGGATGAGGGGGAAGAGGAGATAAAAGGAGAGATAACCTCAGACAGTCAGTCTCAGTCAGCAGCCGTCTCCTCTCCACCACCAGTCCCACAGTGTCGGCCTGTCTCTGGGGGGAGTGCGGGATCCGAGCCGGCAGCAGGAACATCTACAGACGTGGAGGAAATCCCCCGTTTATTTTAACCCACTGACAGTGAATCAATGTGCAGGAATGATTGATTATAACTGAGCTCACCTCTCCCTCCTTGATGTGCACGTCCTTGTGTTTGCCATTTTCAATCACCTTCAGACACATGTCCCCCTTCAGCTGGTAGAACAACTGTTTGAGAGAGTGGAAGAAGAGAGAAAAAATATTATTAAATTAAAGGGAAACTGCACTGATTTTATACACGACAGACTGTGTACATGTAGAGGACTGCTACAGTTTAAATATTGTCTTTATGACAGTGCTCAAGTATCACTATTGAGTAAGAGCTTGTCACCTGACCGTTGTTTATAGTTTGGTAGGGGCGGATCTGTTCTCAGGGGGGCCAGAGGGTGGCATCGAGACTTTAAGGGGTGGTATAGAAGTATATATATGCTTATTTTGCTACAGAACAAGCCCCCAAATGAAGATATTTGAACTAAAATACATTAGAAATATGTAAAGGTGCCGTTAGAAATCAGTAAATTGTTTTATTTCTTACATTTTTCCAAATAAAACTTTAAAATAAAACCAATCACTAAAATGTGGTCATAACAGATCATTAAATTAATGTTATTTCTACAAATTAATGTTGGCTGGGCGTTTCCCAGGTTTATCCACTGCCGCCCCTCGAGGTCCGTCGCTGTGCTTTGGTACTGTGAATGCAAACAGGACCTAGAAAAATCAAATCGTGGCAGCCGGCCAAAATAATTTAACCAACTATTGCAACATTGTGCTGGAGTTTGCCCTTTTTTAGTGGGAGAGAGTTTCTTTGACACAGTCATTATGCTGGGAACTGAAACTTTAAATCCAAGTTTGCACTTTAATACATTTATTGGAAGTGGAAGTCAGACTTTATGCAGACGGATCTCTTACCTCCTCCCCTTCCTCAATATGATAATCCTTCCTGGTGTTTGGACCTCCAACAAACATGATGATCAACTGGGAAAAGTGCCTGAGAGACAGAGGAATGATAGTGTGCTCCCAGGAACTCAAACACTCTTTACTGACAGGTTCAACTGTAATTACACACAGATTCCCAACAATGTGGCTGATATCCGAGTACTTACATGAGTTTGTTGCACACCGGTGGCAGAAAAGCATTCTGGTTCTCTGTGATCCATTTTTCCACGTTCACCAGCACAGTCGTGTTGCTCATTGTTTCAAACGGACGTGGTTTGTCGCTGCAGTGTGAAGTCTCTCCGCTGGTCAGAGCAGCTCAAACAGTCTGACTGATACTGAAAGTCCAAAATGCAGAAGTGGGGGAGGAGTTCCTGTTGGTGACATAATAAGTAACATATAGTGCCGTCCTGCAGTGACTCTGTAGACTTACTGAAGTCACACTGAGGACAGCAGCTTGAGGTTTCTCCCGAGGGTAAAATGTCTGATTGATGCATGTTGTAAAGTTTGAAGACATTTTTCTTTTTCAATAAAATTGTGGGAGAAAGTGAAAATTGTGTCTCTTTTGTTTAATTCATTAAAAATTGAAGGAAACTTGTTCCAGTTCGACTATAATGTTTGTTTAGAGGGTAAATGTGAGACGTATGAGTCACTGTTCTTCCTCCTCATATAAATAAGTATTTTGTTCATTTTTATGACTCATTATTAATGTTTGATGTGTTATTTTGTTTTTAAAAGCAGCATAAAGGGAACTTTATCTAAATTTAATTGTTGTCAATAACGAATGAACCAACTCACATCTGCATTATTTTATTATTCTTTATTTTAAAATGTATTTCCATTTTTATTAAATGTAACTGTAATCTGATTACAACCTTTTGTGTGTATCCTGATAATATTACTCTATTACATGTAATCTGTTACCCCCCAAATCTGCCCGTACACACATTAAACAACTACATTACAGTTATATTAGTTCTTGTCATGTTTGTCATCAATATTTAAAACAATATAAAACTATTTGTACTGAATCCTGGTGATTTATTTTATTTTTTATTGATTTATTTTATTTTAGTTTATGCACACACTGCTATGTATTATGTTTGTTTGTTTGTTTTTGTTTGTTTTCCCTGTGTGTTATGTTTTTAATACCTTTAATACCTTTAATAATATCTCTGATTGTTGTATTCTGTCCACCTCATATGTCGCTTTTAATTGTATTTTTTATTGCTACTGGGGTTTATTTTTGTAAAGAACTTTGCAAACACAAATAAAGTTATTATATTATTATTATTATTATTATTATTATCATTATTACTATTATATTATATTACTATTATTATATTATTTTATTATTACTATATTATTATATTATTATTATGATGTTATTATTATTATTATATTATTATTTTATTATTATATATTATTTTATTATTGTTATTTTATTATTACTATCATTATTATTATTATTATTTTATTATTGTTATATTATTATTATTATTATCATTATTATTATTATATTATTATTATTATTATTATTATTATATTTTTATTATTATTATATTATTATTATTATTATATTATTATTATTATATTATTATTATTATTATGATTATATGTTCTCACTGAGGAGTTAATCTGAGGTGTAGTCCCCCCCACTGTCCACTAGGTGGCGCTGTTGGTGAGAGCAGATAACAGCTGTTCTTCAGAGAGCCTGAAGGTCAATCTGAGTCTTCCCGCCAAATGAGGAGTGTCCTGGTTTCCATTGTTGACACCAACAGAGGATTTTCATTGGTCTGATTACAGAGATTCATCATCGGAGACCTTTAATCAATTTAATGTTATTGTTCAATTATATTATTATTAATAATATAATGATTATAACTTCAGATAATAACTGAGGAATTATTATATATATATATATAATTATATTCTTAAGTGAGTTTCTATCTACTTTAAGGGTTTCTGTTGATATTTAAACAATATAAATAAGATTAAAGAACAAAAAGTGTCAGTGCTTTCAGATATAATATAAAATTAACTTTGTGTAATAAGTTAAAAATTAATTAAATTAATCATTAAAAAAGCAACATTAGTTAATAATTTTATGTTTCAAATATTGTTTACTAGAGAATTGTAATTACAAATAAACACATTTTTAATGTTTTAACTGCATTAAAAATATATTGTAATAACTCTGTGAACCAACTTTAAACATAAAACCATGTTCAGTAATATAAAAGGCATTATAGTGTTTACTGTATTAAATGAGTTTATAACAGAGTCAGGAGTACGTAGAATATAAATCATTTTAATGTGTGTAGAAAATACAGAACTTAATTAAACTTAATTAAATATTTAAAAATAGTTTGAGGAAGAAATAATAACTCATTAAAATATTAAGTTATTAAGATAAATTAAAATAAACTCAAATGTTCTCAATATTTTAATTTATAATCTCAAAATAATAATTTAGCATTTTTAAAAAGAGAAACTTAAAAAAATTATTACTTAATATAATTAAAATAATAATTAACTTTCAGAATATGTTGAGAATGTTTCTCATTATAATGTCTAATAATAATAATTCATATAATATGTTTTTCTATCACATTTGTCCGGTTCCAGCCCGGTTCCAGAGCCCGGTTCCAGAGCCCGGGTCCAGAGCCCGGTTCCAGAGCCCGGTTCCAGCCCGGTTCCAGAGCCCGGGTCCAGAGCCCGGGTCCAGAGCCCGGTTCCAGAGCCCAGGTCCAGAGCCCGGTTCCAGCCCGGTTCCAGAGCCCGGGTCCAGAGCCCGGTTGCAGCCCGGTTCCAGAGCCCGGGTCCAGAGCCCGGTTCCAGCCCGGTTCCAGAGCCCGGGTCCAGAGCCCAGGGTCCAGAGCCCGGTTCCAGAGCCCGGGTCCAGAGCCCGGTTCCAGCCCGGTTCCAGAGCCAGGTTCCAGGTTCCAGAGCCCGGGTCCCGGGTCCAGAGCCCGGTTGCAGCCCGGTTCCAGAGCCCGGTTCCAGAGCCCGGTTCCAGCCCAGGTCCAGAGCCCGGTTGCAGCCCGGTTCTGGCTCCGCAGCGCTCGGGGCTCGGATCACGTGGTCCGCGGTGTCACCGGAGGGGGCGGGGCCTGTGGGTTGCCTCAGCGTGCTGCGTGCTGACGTCGTCCGGACTAAACGCCGTTTCAGACTTTGTAGTTTTGAAGGTTTAAAAAGGCCCAACGGCGAATAAACGCGGGTCGAAGCTGCGGGACACACCGAACTCAGTAGATATGAACTGTCCTTCGCGGTTACGAGCCGATCCGAGCCGATCCGAGCCGTGATAAGAAGTGATTCCGGTTCAAGTGGGAAGGTTTGAACCCCAGAAAGTGACCATTGTTGTAACGGGGTCGAGGCTGCGATCATCTCCACTTTCCCCCCCTCCCTCCTCTCTGTTCGGGGCTTCTTCTCCTCCTGTTCGCGGGCTCGCTGCACACAGAAAACAGCGCGAGCTTCTTGTAAGAGTGTCATGAAAGAAATGTCCAGGTGAGTCCGCGCGGTTTCCCTCCGCCGCCGCTTTCTGTCGTTAAATAGTCCCGAAGAATAGGCTAACAGCTAACGTTAGCCCAACTGTCACAACAACCGACCGCAGGCCTGCAGCACCGCTAGCTGCACCAGGCTAGCAGGCTAGGTTAGCACCCCCCCCTCCTGTGTTTGTTGTTATTGTGTAAATTCGCCTTACGGAGGCCCGCGGGTTGCTCCCGGTGTTTATTGTACGGGACACCGACTGTTGGGGGGGGTAAAAGCGAGGTATTCTTCCGTAGCAGCAGGCTAACGGCGAGCTAACGGCGAGCTAATGTTGCTAAATTAGCCTATTTCTTCCAACCTGTTTGTAGCTTCTCGGCTAGTTTTATTCTGCTGTTAATCCTGTGCGTGTGCGTGTGCGTGTGTGTGCGTGTGTAACTTATCAACAACTTTACCAGGTCTTCCTGAATATGATGAAATGTTTGTGTAAGAGCTGTTTTAGGGATTAAAATGAGGATTTAGTGTCAATATAATGAGGAACTTTCTCATTGTGTTGATTTATTGTGTTTAAAATAATTAAAATAATTAAATGTTCTGACTGTTTGTCTCAATAATGACGTGTTATATTAGAATAATGAGACTTTAAAGGTTTTGATTTACACCTGCTGTTGTTATTGAGGTTGATGTCTTTAAATTGCTGTCAGATGATGAAGCGAGTGAACAGAGACTCAGCAAACACATTTGTGTCTTTTTGGCTTTAACGTGGTGACGAACTGTACGTTTACATCTTGTTCACTGTCCAAAGAGCCCGTTCACATTTATTAAAACATATATACAAATAATCTCTATAAGGAATCTATAAAAATGCTCATTTTGTTCAGTTTGTGCGTCACACATTATAAGTTGGACCAGGATTGACCTCCAAACTATCTGTGATGTTACAAAGATCCTTTTAAAAATCAACTTCTACTAGACCAGAATGATAATCACAATTATTTTGATCAACATTGAGATTTAAACTTCAGACGATCTCACACACACACGAGAGACTTTGAGTAACCCTGACTTAAGAAATACTCGTAGTAACGTGAAGTGTTACTTGTTCCCCTCGCAGCACCATGCCTGGTGGGCAGCAGCAGCCTCAGAAACATTATGGCATCACCTCTGCCATCAGCCTCGCACCCCCGCGAGAAATAGACCACCAGTACACCAAGAAGCTCTGCGATGCTATGAAACCTTTCGGGGTGTTTGAAGACGAAGAGGAATTGAACCACAGGTGAGGAAGCAGCAGGTGTAACTTTACAATCGATCACTGTTGGGCGTCGTGTCATCGCAGCGACTCTTCCAGAGGATGCACACAGACACATGAACAGCTGTGTGTATGTGTGTGTGTATATATATATATATATATATATATATATATATATATATATATATATATATATATATACACACTGCAGCAGGTCTTCTTAACAACACGTACATATATACAGCAGCTGAAGTCTTGGTGATGTGTGGAGTCTGTGTGTATAAAGTGGATTGTGAATGAACTTCTGTCTCCTTTCAGACTTGCAGTTCTTGGGAAGTTGAATAACTTTGTTAAGGAATGGATCGCAGAGATCAGTGAGTTAAAGGTGAGTTCTCTGCTTTATTACTAAAGCTTTGTATTGTTGTGTAATAAAGAGAAAATCCTGACTTCCCTGCGTTTGTTTCCCCCCCCACAGAACCTTCCACCATCAGCTATAAGCTGTGTTGGAGGCAAGATATTTACATTTGGTTCATACCGACTTGGAGTGCACACAAAAGGTATGTCTGTGTTCATATTGTGGTCATTGCTCTTACTTTAATGGCAGCACCTGTACTGCTGTGTGATTGGTTGTATTACGTTCAGATCAGAGGTGACGGGACATTATTGCCACACAGCACTCGACACTGTCTAAGCAGGCACGTTTCATTGTTTCTGAAAAGCTGAGTTCACTCTGACCACACTAAAGCACGAGGCTGGCATTGTCATATTCCTCTGCTGTTCAGTGTTTTTGTAAAGACTAGTTTTGGGGTCTGAAAGCGAGGTTAAACACTGGCTTACTATAGACTGGAGGCACCTGTGTGAGTGTGGCCAGAGTACCTCCTTTTAAAAGGTTAGAAACAGAAATATACATTAGCTTGCTGTGTATTTGTTTGTAGTTGCTGTCAGTTATATAACCTCTGATCAATGCTCAGTGCTTTGTTGATAACAGTCCATTGCACTTATTAATAAATGTGTGACTGCCGCGTTATTTTCCGGTAAATCAGTTGAACTTCCTCATATTACATTTGAACTGCGAAAGAGCAAAACACATAAAAAAGCAGTAAGTTTCAGTTTACAGCGAGTTGAAGCATTTAGTAAACAGAAAAGGTCACATTCCTTCAGTTCCTGCTAAATACTGCTGGAGATAAAGACATCAGGTGTTTATGTGGATACACGATGATTAACAGGACAAATAAATGATCAGCTGATGATGGGAAGCTTATATTATTGTAAATTAAATGAAGATAATTAAATTACAGCTGATTAATAATAATTTATTTAGACTTCTTATGCAACACAATTGATTGGCTTTTACAAAACATAAAGTTTAATGAACTTTATTAGAAAAAATAAACACATGAGGAATCAGACCTGTTAATCAGAGCTCCTTTCTCACTACATCTTACCCTTGCTTACCCTCAAGAGAGCAGAAACTACTTCTTATTAACTCCTTTTTAAAATACAAAATTATCTGTTGTCGTATCGGTTGGACTGTCCAGAGCAGCCGTTCTCAGTCGGACAGTCACAGAAAACACCATTCAGAAGTTGCTGCCCTTCACTTCAGCTGATGGTTTATCAGATGAAGTCTCTTTCGCTTTTAACGCAGCGACTTTGTTCAGTGTACTTATCAGATTGTTATTGTAGTCGGCAACCTTTTAACCTGCTGGTCAACACAGATTACAGTTGCTGTTTCTTTCAGGAGCTGATATTGATGCCTTATGTGTGGCCCCACGCCACGTAGAGAGAACTGACTTTTTCCAGTCTTTCTTTGAGAAATTGAAACAGCACGAAGAGATCAAAGACCTGAGGGTAAGTGTCTGTGGCTTCTACAACACAGGGTTGTATAATGAGAGCTGTAGTGGCTTAATGCTACTCACAAAAAGAACATCAATATATATATTTCTATAATATATTAGAGTTCACAGAGCGGTTTCATCCCTGAGCTAAAAAAAATCAGCCTGTTCAAGAGCATCAGACGGCTTACATCACTGCTCCTGGGGGAGAACAGCCTCTAGAAGAGTTCACTGTACTGGCAATGCAGAACGACAGCTAACATCGTTATAGATCGCTGGATTACATCTGCATGGATGAGCTCACTTTAGCTGAATAGGTAGAGGAGTAAGAGTGAGTAATAATGCTGTAACTGTGAGCTGTGAGCAGAAGAGCAGCGCACCCAGGAGCTATGGCCTTTTTTTTTAGGTCTTCTAGTAAACAGTGTTAATTTCCCAGGGTGTATATTAACACCAGTACACATGATGAAACTACTGTGTACATCCCCTGTAGTGTAATTATCAAATCAGCTGCTGTTTGTTGAAGCTTTTACTGGCGATAAAATAAATAAAATAAAGGAATTCTTATATCCAAAAGTGCATAGTGTTTGTTTTTCAGTTCACTTTTACTGTGTTTCTAATAATTTAATTAAATCTTGAAGCTCTGGTCTTCAAACAGAAAGTTTCCAAACCTTGTAGTCTGCTTTCTGTTAGCGTTACTTTAGCGTCTGAGAGCTCTGCGTTCTTGCCTTTATGATTTTCCTTTCGTGTTCACTCGGTGTTCATGTCAGTCAACCATGTGACTCTACCTCGTCTCAGATTTGTTGGTGATATTATTTTCTCTTGGTGTTTTTTCAAGGCTGTTGAGGACGCTTTTGTACCAGTGATAAAGTTCAAATTTGATGGAATAGAGGTAAGTGACTACATTTAGGGGTATTACATAACTAAATACGAACTCTTATAGCCGTGAAAAGGATCGTGGTTTTGAGTTCCAGTTTGGACTCAAACAAAAATGGATCCAGATTAAAACCGGTGTTCTCAGGCCGGGTTAAGAACAGGTTGGTGGTCCGGTTTGTAGCTCTGATCCAGGAAAACTTCTACTGCAGCTTGCAGCCATTAAACAGGCTTCGGGCAATTGAGCAACGCCAAAACACGTCTATTAAAAGTGTTTGTTTTTGCCTCTGACCGGCTCCGATTCTTAGGAGTGTGTCTGACAACATTGTGGGAAGAATTCCTGCAAAGAAATGAAACGTTTTCTGGACCATTTCACTTTAACTGGTCTGTAAAGGAGGGGAGGAGTCTCGTTCAGCACCCACAGGACCACCACCCGTCTCCAAAGCTTTGCAGCCTCGCAGCAGCCGGTTCACCCTCCAACCTGTTGTTCTCTCTCTCTCTCTCTCTCTCTCTCTCTCTCTCTCTCTCTCTCTCTCTCTCTCTCTCTCTCTCTCTCTCTCTCTCTCTCTCTCTCTCTCTCCCCTTTATTAGGGATGTATGATAATTATCAGTGCAGATAAATTATTGGCTGATATTGGGAAATTTATGTTATTGTTATATATTTTGAGTTCTTTGGCAGAACGATTGATAGGCTGTTGACCTGGTCAGTGGCAGAAATGCTTTTAATGGGTGTATTTTAACATTGCGCACAAGGCTGCAGCGCTCTCACTCAATACTGGACCAGAGTCACAACTTGTCTCCTTTAGTAGCTTTGACACAAAAACATGAGAAATTAAAGTTTAAAAAAAAATACCAAAGTTGCCCTTTAATTTAACCCAATTTATAACCAAAGACGCCCTTTTGTTGTGCCTAGTGTTTTTCTAACTGCTGTCCCTTCATGTGTTTGACTCTGAGACTCACAGAATCACCAAGTTGCTGAACGGGACGGTCAGTTATTGAAGATGAGATTTTATTCTCTGCTCAATCACTCACTTTGTTATCTGTCTGTCTCTGTCGGAGTAGATTGATCTGCTTTTTGCCAGACTCGCCTTACAGTCCATTCCAGACAACCTGGACCTGAGGGGAGACTCCATCCTGAGGAACTTGGACATTCGGTGTATCCGCAGCCTTAATGGTACACTGCACGGCTTCTGTTGGGTTGAAAACATACAGTAGGGGAGTTGATAATGACTCGAGGCCTGATGCTGTTTTCTGTGGTAACATTTAATAAGTAGCAGCGAGTTGTGGCAGATATATGGAAGTTTCTGAAAGTCAAACGTTCTCCGTCTGGGATTAAACTTCAGCTATAAGAGCGTAATACTTCACTCAGCTTCTGATGTTGGTTTGTTCTGACAGGCTGTCGAGTGACTGATGAAATTTTGTACCTGGTGCCAAACAAAGAGAACTTCAGGCTGACATTGAGAGCCATCAAACTGTGGGCAAAACGTAAGTGAACTCAGGAGTTCCCACAATGAAAGAGCTAATGTAACAACTGTGTGTGTAACATTAAAGCTGTTTACCTCCTCCAGTGGATACCTGACAGACCGTCAGTGTGCTCCTCTTTCAGCTAACTGCAGTATCTTCTCTCTCTGCTCGTATTGTGTCCTCTGCCTGCAGGTCGTGGGATCTACTCCAACATGCTGGGCTTTCTGGGTGGAGTGTCGTGGGCCATGCTGGTGGCCCGGACCTGTCAGCTCTACCCTAACGCTGTGGCTGCCACGCTGGTCCACAAGTTCTTCTTGGTGTTCTCCAAATGGTGAGAATTGGAGCTCCTGCTGTTTGTAACTTGCCCTGCTCCACTTGGTGGCAGTATTACACAGCTTTGTGCCAGTGTCAGTCGTGTTTTCACACATTGTGCTGTCTGTGTCGTTTCCACTCTGCAGGGAGTGGCCAAATCCGGTGCTATTGAAACAGCCTGAGGACAGTAATCTGAATTTACCTGTGTGGGATCCTAGAGTGAGTATGACACCAGAGTTTTATCTCCACATGTTTGTAATCGTTTGCCTCCGTTTTGTATGTGCAGACGCAGGAAACACTGTCTGGACAGAGTTAATAAAAGTTTGTTGGTGTTTTTTTGTTTTGTTTTTTAAAGTTAGCTCAACAGTTGATAGCATAGGTAGATTTTTTTTTTTCTCCTCCTTTTTCATTGTCTCCTCATTCCTCTGTCCTCATGTGACCCGGAAATTGATCGGGTCCCCTATATGAGTTCCCAAGCCCTTAACTCTGCTCGGAGGAGGCTTCCCAGAGCACCTTGGAGCAAGGAAGACTTCCTACGTGGACGTCTTTTTATCAGTAATAATGCATTAGCAGCTGAACAGCACAACAGATCTGACATTTGTGTTTAAATCCAACACTGCCGTCAAAACCCTGTGTGGACAGATCAGTAACAGATATACAGTGCAGTGAATATTTGCTCTTTGTTTTTTTCACCTGGCCAGGGCTTTGATATATTTTGTTTATTACTGTTTTTTATAATCTATATATAACATTTATCTCTCTCAAACTAATCAGTCTATAGCCTTTAAAAATGAGAACATCCTAGCTGTTGTAATTGCTGTGTCATGTTTGTAGTGTCCCTTCAGCAATAAACACATTTTAATTATCTATTGGTGTCGTTTCCGTTCAGTCACAGTACGGCCAACAATCACCATGCATTTTACATTTACAGTGTTTAGGCTCCTTTTTAATCACCTCTTTACAGCGATACATGATCATCATAATGTAGACGGTGTCAAATGATTGCATGGTAAAGGCTTTGCTGCTGGCAGGAATTCCTTAAAGGTCCAATGTGGAACGTTTAGGGGGAACTAGAACTAGATTATAATATTCAGAGGTATGTTTTTATCTCTCTTTTATGGAGTCAGCCATGTTTCTCACCACTGGAAGGCTGAGCTCTAACAAGTGGTTGCAAATCTACAACTTCACCACTAGATGCCACTAAATCCTACACACTGGTGCTTTTTAAAAGTTGTGTGTCTTCAAAATACAGTTTGTATTTTCACCACAAAATAGCTCTTGGTGGTAAGAGGGCATTCTCACATGGTACCCCCTTTTTAATACTGGTGGCTGGTGTAGAAGAGATTATTAACCAAGACTGTGCAGTATACTTTCAGTTTTTGTTATGCATGTGATATTAATGTGCACATTTAATATTTTAAATTGTGTTTTGTCACGTTGGTGATCAAAATGAAATGGCTAAAATGAAAGCGACATTAAGTCCCTGAATTATTGAGGTTGCAGCTGAGCAGCAGCCTTCGTCTGTAACTGACTCATCACTTCACATGATGTTTGAGAGGGAAGCACGTCACGCTCCCTCCTCGCATCAGTTGAGGAACAAATGCAAATGAGGGAAACGTGAATGTTGTGAAGTGAATTGGGATGTACCTGTGGGATGTGCGGCCTTGGTTTTATGATGTTCTTTCGGTGTGTGTGTGGGCGGGAAGTTGCCCTACTCGTTCGGTTTGGTGGGTGGAGTGCGATGTTGCTGAAGGCTCTCATATCTGCAGGTGAAAGCAATCAATCCCTGTGATGTGTTTCTTTTGTATTTACTTATATATTTTTTTAGGTCAACCCATCTGACAGATACCACCTGATGCCCATCATCACACCTGCGTATCCCCAGCAGAACTCCACGTACAACGTCTCCACATCAACGCGCACCATCATGAGCGAGGAGTTCAAATACGGTACTGCACGCTGCACGACTGAAACATTTACTGCGTTCACCTTCTTTAAATCTCTTGTTCATCAGCATCACTTGAGTTAATGGGATGTAGTAACTAGTTTCCACCTTCTACATTACTTAAAATGTCCCTGTGAATGTGAAGTAGTTTGAGCTCTGATGTGTCTCTGTCCCTCGCTGTGAACAGGCCTCAGCGTCACAGATGAGATTCTTCAGGGAAAAGCAGAATGGTCCAAACTCTTTGAGCCACCCAACTTTTTCCAGAAGTACAAGTAGGTGTTGCTTTTGTCAGATTTACGGGTCTGCATGTGCCCTTGTTTAATTAGGATAAGAGTTCTTTAACAAACAGGTTGACAGGCTTCAGGCTATCTGTAAAACCGGATGATGCAAGGTTTGTTTTTTTCGGGGGGGGGTTTCCGACCAACTTGTTTTCACTTTTTGGGTTTGGGCAGATTTGACTCATCCTAACTGTGGTCAATAGTTTGGTTGACTCATTTTGTTTATGAAAGTGTCCTCCCACACACTTTGTGTTGCAGGCATTACATCGTCCTGACTGCCAGCGCATCCACAGAAGAAAACCATCTAGAATGGTGAGTGTTGACAGACTTCCCTGTATGGTGAGAGCTTATAAAACCAGCCTCGCCTGTTTAAGTAAAGTAAGTCTGTATATTTCAGTCAACTGGTTCCCCTTTTCAGTTTTTAGTGTGAGTTGAGGAAGCTGTACTGCAGTACTGTGAAAATAACTTATCTTACCGCCACCTCTGTGAACTCATTCTGCTGATTTTTCCCTCAGGATCGGTCTGGTGGAGTCAAAGATCCGTGTCCTGGTGGGAAACCTTGAGAGGAATGAGTACATCACCCTGGCTCATGTCAACCCCCAGTCCTTCCCGGGGTCCAAAGAGAACCGCAACGAGTGAGTCCACCTCTATCCATACATACAGTCAGCTAATCAGAGCTCTGAGAGTGCTGTATGTGTGTGCATTTCTGCCCCACTGGCTTCCTCTTGCGTCACAACCATGTTTAACACAGCATGAAATGAACACGAGCTAACTGATAGTTTCTGGAACAGGAACGACTTTGTGTCCATGTGGTTCATCGGGATCATCTTCAAGAAAGTGGAGAACGCGGAGAGCGTGAACATCGACCTGACGTACGACATCCAGTCCTTCACAGACACCGGTAGGTCTCGCCGTATTCCTGACTGTCGGTGTCAGACATTCGCTAAACTGCACAATGCAAGTGGGACAATAACTCATTTTAAATACCTGCAGTAAATTCTAGTGCTCAGGGATTATTTCTGCAGTTTTTCTTTGTTGATCATAATAAAAGAAATCGAATTAATCCACAGGGTTTTTCTAAATTAATATAGTTTTGGCTAACTGTTCCAATATGTATGAGACACATACATACATACAAACAAGTATTTTTGAAATAAGTAAATTGAAATATACTCCTAGCTTGTATGTATGTTCGAGTGGAGGTTTGACATTAACAGTGTTCCCACGCTTCCTGGAAAATCTGGACATTTAGAGACTAGTTTTCCAGTAATGGAAACACCAGGAAACTAATTAAAATGATTAAATATCCTGGAAATAATCTATGTTGTCCTGGAAAATGTTTATTGTATTTTAGCCCCTCACGCAGATCACCTACATAAACCTATAGGTGCATATTTAGTTTGAAACTGTGCAGTTGTTTAGCTGCACAGTGTGGCACTTCAAAGTGGGTTAACCGGACGTAAAGTGGAACGGAAAAAAAACGTTTTAAACGCTGCCTTTTTAATTTCGGCTGACGTTTCACAGACATTAACCCGACACGTTGTTCTCTGCAGTGTACAGACAAGCCAACAACATCAACATGCTGAAGGAGGGGATGAAGATTGAAGCAACACACGTGAAGAAGAAACAGCTCCACCAGTACCTTCCTCCTGAACTGGTACAGAAGAAGAAGAGGGTGAGATGTCTTCCTGTGCAACAAAATGTAGTATGAAGATTTTTCCTCCTCGTCTGTCTGTTTATGTTCCTCCTTTCTTCCTTCGTGCAGAGCATAGCCGAGTTGAACCGGAGCTCTAACGGTGGGAGCTCTAAGCGGATCTCTCTGGACAGCAGCCACCTGGACAGCTCCAGAGACACCGACTCAGGGACTCCCTTCAGCTCCCCGACCGGCAAACCACTCAAACCTACGTCGGACACAGACGACGGGTATGTTAAACCTCTGCAGCTCATTTTTTTCTGTTTCTACCTGATTTATTTGAGTGTTGTGATTGATAACAGACGTCCTGTCTGTACTGTATTCTTACTATTTACAACAACCAGGCTTTCATCTACAATATGAAGCTGACTGGATGTTTTCTGTCTCCTCTGTATTTTGCAGCGTCAGCCCTCCCAAGCAGCTTTTTGTGGAGAGCCCCTCAGCACCCAGCGCCGCTCCCAGCGCCGCTCCCAGTGCTGCTCCCGGTGCCGCTCCCAGTGCTGCTCCCGGTGCCGCTCCCAGTGCGTTGCCCAGTGCCGCTCCCAGTGCGGTGCCCAGTGCGGTGCCCAGTGCGGCGCCCAGCGCGGTGCCCAGCACGGCGCCCAGCACGGCAACTGCTGCTCAAGACCAGGGCATGTCCATCCCTGTTATTGGCTCAAGTGAGTCATTTTTAGTGGTCGACTGATGTGTATTTGGAGAGCTTTTTCCTTTCTGAGATGAGAGGATGTTTGATATATATTAATTGCACAAAGAGACATACAGCAAAATTTTTCAGTCTATGGAACAATGTTAATGAATTAAAGTCGTGTTGATATTGGAAATGTTAACAGGATGTCAGGATACATCTAATTCCTCCTCCTCCTTCTGCAGAGCCTTCAGTTAAAGCGAAGCCTCCCTCACCGCCAGCCAGTAGCTCCATCGCCACCGTGCTGAGCACGGACGTGCTGCCCAACGCCGCCAGCAGCCCCAGAGAGGAGCCCAACGGCCTGGAGGACTCCGTCAACGGAGCTCCGGCCAAGAGACCGCGCTCGCCCACAGAAGAGGAGCTGGCCAAGCGGCACAAAGACACAGAGGTAAGGAGGCTGTTCTCAGCTCAGAGTTACGGTAAGTATTTCAATTTAATGTCAGATTGAATGAAACTGAGCGGTGACCCTGTCCTGTTTCTTCTGCAGGTGGTGTCCAGTGACGACTCTGCTTTTAAAGAGCCATATCCACCATCCTCTGAATCCCACACACACGGAGAAGGAGCCAATATTGTAGGTGTTATTTACTCAGTGTCTATTCACTGTAAAACCAGAGGAAACATAATGTTCACATTTTGTCTCTGTTCACCATTAGACCCCCCATTCTGGATCAAAGGCTAAGCCCATTCCAACCATTGATACCTCAAGAACACAGGTAACGTCTTAAACCAGCGGCTCTGTTTTAATCCGCGTTTGGTTTCTGAAATATTTGGTTGTTTAACACACAAATAAAACATAAAAATAGATTTTCTGGTTTGGTTTTAAAACAGAAAAACTCGAAAAAAAACCTGTTTGTTTGTTTTTAATTTTTCTGATTTGGTTTTGAAAGAACGAACCATAAACCATTTTTAATGTGTGTTTGGTAATTATAATTATATTATGTGTCTGTGTGCTTTTGTTCTGGTTCAGTTATTAAATGGTGCTGATTTGATGTCATTGTTTCCCGCCTCAGAGACTTCCCAGCATGGAGCTGCCAGACGCCTCCTCGCCTCTCCCAGCCAGCAACAGTTGTCGCGTTGTAAAAAATTCCATTAAACTGGCCCTCAACCGCCACAAGTGAGCTTCAGCTGTTGCCGAGCACCCTCACAACATTTCAAACTCTCTGCTGTTTGATTCTAATGTTTGAACCTTTATTGTAGCATCACACCTCCCAAGCCCCCAGTGTTTGAGGGCACCCTCGCCACTGACGCTGCTCCTGCCGGTGAAGAGAAGGGCATGTCCATTCCTGTCATTGGCTCAAGTGAGTGTCTGATTGTAGTCAGAAATCAGGTCTGTACAGTGTGTTCAGCTGAAGGTGCAGCAAGATGAAAACTAGACAAAAGATGGATAATAAGTATCAACTTATTGTTAAAACCGTATCTGCCCCCCAACACCGTGGCACCAGGAGTCAGTCAGTCAGTCGCCGGTTAGAGGAGATTTTAAGCGCAGACACACACCACGTTTCCTTTTTAAAGGACAAAATAGACGAGTAAACAGCGTTGCACAGGCAACACACACTGAAGACATTCAAGCAGACTATTTATGTTTATGTCCTGATACATGTGTGGAGGGGACATTTAAATATACCGAGGTAAAGGACTGAATGGGGGGCCCCCATTAGTGGTCCTCTGTGGTATCATATGGTGCTTTTAAAGACCTGCTGACTGAGCTACTGGAGGACTATACCTGTATAAGTGTGCACATATGGGTAGGGGTGTATATAGAGAGGGGTATATGTACGACAATAACCTGTCACCCCTAGAAAAGAGACGTGGGTCTCCGTGGGTCCTCCTGCTCATGGAACTGTGCCGACAGTAAGATGTATTTTTCTCACTGAACGCCGTTTGTGTGTCTCTACAGAACACGTGGCATCCAAACACGCGGTGCCCCCCGTCGGCAGCTCCATCCCCACGCTAGTGAGCCGAGGAGCTGACCCGCTGAACGGAGCCGCCACCAAGAGACCCCTCTCCCCCTCTCAGGAGGAGCAGGCCAAGAGGCTGAAAGAAACAGAGAAGGCCAGAATCCACATAGCCTGAGCCACGCGACTGTAGACCGGACTCACACACACACACAGAGGTGGGGCTTTACAGTTAAGTCGAACACCGAGAAGATGACTTCACACGGGGACAGGGAATGCGTTCAGGTCTCGAGTGTGAAGCAGCAGGACGGGACACCTCAAACCTCAAATCTTCAGAGATTCTAGATTTGCCAGCGGATAGGTGATTTGGTCAAAGCAGATGTTGTCAGCTCCCTCCGTCACGCTCGCAGCCAGAGGGCATTTAACACGCCAGTCACGGAGATATCTGACATGAGAACTAAAGCGACAGTTTTTTTTACTCGTCTTTCTCCCTCGGTGTTTAAAAATGTGCACAGTGCAGACAGAAAACGTGCTGTTCTTTTTCATTTTCCGTTTTTTTTCCAGTTAACGTGTTTTAAAAACAGCCCAGAATACCGACGCTCGCTGCGCACACTTCCCGTGTATGCCAGTTTTTCTTTTCTTTTCTTTTTCTCCCCAAACAGAAAAACCTGTACAGTAAATGTTGATGTACATAACTTTTTTGTCTTAAAAAAAAAAAAAAAAGCAAAAGATCACTGTTAAAGTCTTTTGATCATTATATTGTAGTTTTATCTAAAAATGGAAAAAAAAAAAAGTTTAAAAAATTGTAATTCTTTTTTGTTTTGTTTTTTCTCTATTGCTTGTCCCAAAAAGAAGTTTGTCTCCAGCCCTGGATATTTTTTGTAAACACTGTATAGGTTTGGATACAGTTGCAGGGAGGCTTTATTGAGGGGTTTGCTCGGATCTGACAACCACGACTCTTTGGACCACCACGACCGCCCAGAACCGGACTCCAGGTTAGTATCGGACTGCAGGCGATCATAGACGTCCGGTGACATCAGTGCCTCTCAGGTGCCGGTAAGAGCATTAAAAAAAAAAAAAAAAAAACCATCATTAACAACAGGAAACTGCGTTTTCTGGATGTGATGTAATGAAGCTTCTCTCTCGGAAGGATTTTAGCACCGAACATCGGAACAACGTTTCATATCAGAGCTGATCCTCCCTGTTCAGTGTCGCTTCACTGTCACCGCCTTGTTGTTCCTCTTGGATTAAAAGAAAAAAGGTTGAGTTCTTTCTGTTTGTCCTGGTGTGTTTAAGGTCGACACGAGAAAGACAGTTCAGACGGTCACAACAGAGTGTTTGGATATCAGTTGTGTGTACCTGTGGTCCATCAGGAGGGCTAAACAACTAAACAACAACAACAACAACAACCTAATATATCTGGGCTGCTGTTTGACCCCCCCCCTCCACCAGTTCACCACGATCGGTCCTGGTTGCGCTTGTGTCCATGAGTTTGTGGAGCTCAGTGAAGAAATGGTTCGAAGCTTTTTTTGCGTGCGTGCATTTGTCTGTGTGTGTTGTGTGTGTGTGTGTGTGTGTGTGTGTGTGTGTGCTTCATGGCTGACTGTGTGTGCGTGCATGCGTTGGATGGTTGTTTGTGTGTCGGGGAGAGACAGACTTCCCTTCGTTAGGGTGTTAACGCTCTGCGCCTCCTGTGGAGGTTCTTAAATAAAGCATCTCCTGGGGCCACTGGTGGGGCGGGGGGGGGGGTCAGGAGACAACTTGTTTTGTTAATTTTTTTCTGCCTTGGGCCCCAACCCTCCATCTTTATGGTCTGAAGCTGGTTTGAGTTCAGCAGCACAGAAGATACATGTACACAACGAAAGTATAAAGTGATGCTGACGCGGCGCCCTCTTCTCCGGAGAGTTGGGACGCAGGTGTCCCCCGGTGTCGGTTTCCCTCAACTTTAATGTACAGAGAACAGTTTTTTCAAAAGGCATATTCTTCATTATCGGGGGTTTTCTTATCACTTTATTTATATTTGCATATTTGTACCATGTGATCTTTTTTTTTTTTTAATAGCATTCATAGCAGGTAATTCTCTTTTGAATGGAAATCTGCGCCGCTCTGTTTCAGACAACTCATGTTTTGCTGTTTGGAAACATTTAACAAAACAGGTCATTTAGATGTTTGTTTCTAAAATGTATTGAAAGGGTATTTTTGTATGTGTTTATCACTTCCTTTAAATGAATCTGTACACCCATTAAACCCCTAAAAACTACGCCTGTGTCTGTGTTCTTGTTGCATTTATTTTCACATTTGTTGGTAGTGAAGGACGTCACCACACACACACACACACACACACACACACACACACACACACACACTTTGTTTACCTGAAATGTCATTAGATGTAAATAAAGTACATCTCGCTCGTCAGAATCCACTAATGACCTTTAAAGAGCATCTACGTAAAAGTTTCTGACGTCGACAATTAACCACTAGATGGCGCAATAGAGCACCAGCATCTCAGACCAAAACAAAAGGTCCACCCGACTCCTTCAGGGGTAAAACTGTCATTTAACCTCATAAACACACTTTGTTCAAACTTTACAGAAACACAATAAATGGTGTTAGTTTATCCTCTATATAAAGACATGTTGCTACACTGAGAATAAACACTGGAAATGTTTGTTTATTTATTGAACCTTTAATAATTCTGTGCAAGTGGAATTTAAACTTTCCTTCAGTGGAAATGTCTGCGCTCACTGTGAGGTACTAATACGTATCAGAGTTAGAAATTATATCAAAATAAGCAATCTGAGGTTTAATAGACGCAAACAGACACTTCCTACCCAGTGAGCGTTATCACCTGCTCACTAATAATAGAAACTTTTATATGGAATATGTAGATAGGAGGCTGTCACTGAAAATAATAAACATCCAGTCATTTTTATTGCTTATTAAAATACAGTGTGATAAGAAACTGGCTGTAAGGAGCACAACAAATATTTGCTATCTATGAACTCATAATAATAGTAATATATATTAATATATGACATATGAAGTGTAAAACAGATATTTCATGTGGAAAACATTTAATAAACCAAACTTTATGAAAATGTTCCCTCATTTTTGATCAAACCTGACATTTATTTTCCTAATAAGTTCTAACTTGTGCAGTTAGTTACTCGCCCAAAGTTTGTTGGTATTAAACCAGAAAACCAGAATCCCTGAGTTCTCCAGAGGAATAGTTTTTCATTTGGTTTTCCCTCGTTTAGTTTTTATTGTTTAAAAATGTGAAAGACGTGCCTCTGTTGATTTCCTGCATATTTATTTTAGTGTAAGTACATAATAAAGTTTATTTCATTTAACTAAAATGTTTTAGTTTACTATAAACCCTTTCTATCATTGCGTGACATATTTTATGGATATTTCATATTCTATCCCCTGAATATCAATAACAATAATATTTAATAATCATACAGACTTACTCGGCTTCTTTCTGACAGATTCAGTGTTGTTTGGTTGTTTTCTGATGCAGGATGAAGCCGTTCATGAGACAGTGAAGCTCAGTGAATAAAGTTTGTGTTCAGGTCTTTAAAGATCTTAAATAATAATCTAAACTTTAAACTATTAAACAATTTCAGTTCGTATTCTTGAGAGAAATAATGAAATGAAAATGCTGAGCTACAGGCCTACTGTGGATATTTACCTTTTCTTACACCCCATGAAATCAAGACAGCCTTGTGACCCCCCCTTGTGAAGCCCCTCAAACAGACCCAACCAGTGGCAGAGTCCGCCACTGGATGGTTGTAGTTCATATGAGAGGCTTATAGGTCATTATTGCCCGGACACCCAGGTGTGCATGGTGCTGCAGGGGGAGTGTGGTGACTCTCTCTCCGGTGGCCTGGCCGCACTCACGGCTGCTGTCATGTGCACTGTCATAAGTCTTTTATCTCCCAGGCAACACACACACACACACACACACACACACACACACACACACACACACACTCACTCACTCTTGTGGCAGTGCTATAGGGAGGAGTGGCCAGCTGTGAGTGGCGCGGCCTCTCATTGCTCAGTTCGGATGAAGTGGGCGGTGACGCAGGGGAATTCCCCCGCTGCTCCTCTGTTCAACAAATAATACTTTTCCTGTGCACTGTCACTTATTCAGCTCGGGGTTCTCCAGGAGACAATAACCTGTGATACTGCAGAGAGAGAGAAGAGAGAGAGAGAGAGAGAGAGAGTGTGTGTGTGCATTATGGATGGTGAGTACCTTTATTTACTGTATAATAACACAAGCAGAGTGGAGAATGAGAGGTTATAGACAGGATGTACTAATAATGCTCACAAACATCTACTGCCTCAACTGTTACTTTTCATATTTGTATGAATATCTTGAAACCTGAGTGTTGAACAGCAGCACTGCTCGATTCTGGAGTTAAATACTAGTTGGCAGTATTGATTATACGCCTGTTTAACGACACAGTGAAACTTCCTCTTTGTTGCAATGATTTTTGGAGGCAGTGTCAGTAATTACAGGACAGCTTCAGCAGAACTGACTGAGCTCCAAAAACAACAAACCAGTGAATTCAGGGTTGCTTTGAGTCTAATTTGTGTGTATGTTTCCTCATGTTACAGTTCTTGTGCCCTCCATGCTAGGGGATCCACACCTTAGTAAGTACATTTTAATTCCTCTTGTGTCAAAAATGATCTACCTGTCTCCACAAGCCTTAAAAGTGTCTAGCAGTGTGTGAGTGTATTGCAGTCTTTCACTTCCTCATTTTGTTTTATTGGTAAGCATTGCCATTTTTTCAGAGCTGCGGTGTGAGTGTGTGAACCAGAGCTTCTTGTAATCAACATCTTTATAGTTTGTGGTGTCTGAGTTTATATATTGTGTTAGAAATGTGTGTGGCAGCTTCTGTGTTTGCCGCTTCCTCTAAAGTAGCTGCAAAATGAGGAAGGCAGAACAAGGCCGGGACACTTTTTAAAACTTTTTCTGGCAAACTTACATTTCTTAATTATGTCAGAAATGTAACGGGACTTGTTTCATTCTGGTCCTCATCTGTGTGTGAACGCCATACTTTGGACTGAGCGCCTGTAGCTCGGCTGTGGGTCCACAAAAAGGCGTTTTTTGTGTGTGTGTGTGTGTGTTGTTAAATCAATGGAAACACTGCACACCAAAAACAGACACACTTCCCGGATCAGTTTTAGTTCCTCTCTCTCGCAATCATCATGTGGGGCCTTGTTTCATACAGAAGGGCCAAAGTAGCACAGAGAAGCAGGATGGCTGCACTGATTTGCAGTTTAAAAGACGCCCGTGCACCTCACCTGACTTCAGTTGATGCTGAAGGGTTTTAGACATCCAGGTTACGTAGAATATATTTATCTCAATGAGAAAAACTTTCACTTTCCAATCAGATTTGGCCTCATGTAAGCCGAGCAAACTGCCGAGTGCAAATCACTGAACCAGTGCTTGTTGGTTTATTGAACCACACTGTGTTGATTTTAGATTTATCAGTGAACACTGGGTGCAGAACAGAAGCAGGATGACTCAGATACAGCTCGTCACACAGAGGTTCAGGCACCAACAACAAAAAGCAGAAATAAAGCAAAATGGTTCCCTGACAGCTTTCAATCCCATTTCATACGCTGATCCTCTCTCATGTCTGTCTGTGGTGGAAGGGTTCACAGAAATCTCCACAATACAGAAACTAAATGTCAACTTTGGCCTATTTATCCCAGTTTTAACCTAAACATCTGTTGACCTGCAAATTCAACACTTACTGGGTATTTAAATGTCAAACATTAACTGAGGGAGGTTTGTCTATATAATGACGTCATACTAAATGCTAAATGCATGACATTCATGGTGTTTGCTTTTTATACAAATGTTTATAGCTTTTTATTGGATTAAAAAAACAAGGAAAAACTTCTTTCATAATGGTTTTCATTAGGCAGTATTTCATTATGCGCTTATTGATTGTGCAACTTCTGTCACTGTTTGGCAGCCATGTTTAAAAACCTATTGGATGTGTTGATGGTTGCGTAATCTGCATCAAATCATTTTGAAACCACTTCAGTGTCTGAATCTTAGCTTCCTCTCTGCATCCCTCCATTCACCCTTTCCCATCGTCTGTCTCCAGTGGCTGAGCCAGAGATCCAGATCTTCGAGCAGCCCAAGCAGAGGGGGATGCGCTTCAGGTACAAGTGTGAGGGTCGCTCAGCCGGAAGCATCCCCGGGGAGAAGAGCTCGGACAACAACAGGACCTACCCGAGTCTGCAGGTCGGTCATCTGGAGCACGTGTCTGTGTTGGTATTTCACCCCTCGCATGCAGCATAAGTTCCTGTTAACGACCTCCTCTGCCTCTGCAGATCCTGAATTACTGCGGTAAGGGGAAAGTGCGCGTCTACTTGGTGACCAAGAACGAGCCTTACCGACCACATCCACACGACCTGGTGGGGAAGGACTGCAAAGACGGATTCTACGAGGCCGAGTTTGGTCCAGACCGCAGAGTGATCGCGTGAGTTCCTCCTCCCCAAAAAGCACCTCTGTCCAAAAGGCTTCCTGCAAGTAGTGTTCACTGATTTCACTGTGGGCCACCAGAGCAATTACCACTCACTATCACTCAGTCTCAGTCTCAATCAGTCATCCAAATACGTAAACACACCACAACGTAATCAATTTACTCTCTATTAACTGTATTTCATGTTTCACTCTGCGGTTTCGGAAGGAGTGTAGATCGGTGACCTCTCAGATACAGAGGAAGACACTCAGACAGACTCACACAGAGAAATACTGTCAAACCCTGTCTGTGATGAGGATGGCAATATGGGAATTCCCCGAGTGACATCACCCGTATTTGCTGTGTGTTTGAGAGTGTGTGTGTGTGTGTGTGTGTGTGTGTGTGTGTGTCTGTGTGTGTGTGTGTGTCAATGAGTCAGTATTCTTCGGTGTGTATAATTTGCAAATCCCTCCTGGACGTCTGTAATTCACTCATTCAGATTCATTTAGACTCTCAGTCCAACAGATTCGGGTTAAACATGATCATATTATGTTGTAGTTTATTTAGATACATGACTGCTTTGTTTCTCGTAATCAGCCTCCAGCGCCTGTTCAACCTGTTTAACCTGCTGCGTCATTATTCACAGTTTCCAGAATCTGGGTATCCAGTGTGTGAGAAGGAGGGAAGTGAAAGATGCGATCGTACAGAGGATGACCAGAGGGATCAACCCCTTCAATGGTGAGTCCTCCTGCACCGAGTTTCCATATTTCATGTTGTCTGTTTCTGTTTTCATCTGTTTCATGGGGGAGTACACATCACACTGATGACAGCAGTGGTTTCAAATCAGCTTTACTCATACCGAATTTCTTTTTGTTTTTTTCTACAGCTGGTATTGATATTGGTATTAATAAATAAATCATCATATAGTAGCTTCTATTAGCTTGTATTAGCACTGAAAGTCAGTTATTGTCAGTAGATTCAAAGAAAAGACCAAAACCAACAATGAATGTATCCTACTAAGGAGCTTAATGTAACCTGCTGCCTGAAACCATCAACAGAGCGCCTAATGTGTGTTAATCCGCCGCTGAAAATAGAACCCCAACAAACGCACTGTTTGCTCCTGTTTCAGTAACGTTTGCTAAATTGATTCAATTTAATTCAATTTTATTTGTATAGCGCCAATTCATAACAGGAGTTATCTCAGGACACTTTTCAAATAGAGCAGGTCTAGACCGAACTCTTTATAACATTAATTACAGAGACCCAACAGTACCACCATGAGCAAGACCTTGGAGACAAGGGCAAGGAAACACTGCCTGTTAAAAGGCAGAAACCTCGAGTGGCCCCCGGCAGCCGCCTGCCCACCTAGAGCCACTCTGCTTACGGGTGGAAAATATTAAGAGGCCTTTTGTTGCTAGCAGCTCTGTGATGCCACACTAAATGCTAAATGCTAACGCCAGCTACAAAGGATAATGAAGGAAAGGACAAAATTATATATTAATAAACTATACAGAAAGTTTACTTTAAAGAAGAATTAACACATTCTTACTAATACAAGTCCAATAACCTGGCCTGCTAATATTTCTGCATATCTGCCATCATTCTGCACTGAAGACAATATCAGCTGATATCTACACATATATCAGAGCTCATTCAGACTCTTACAAAGTAAAACAGTGTCACTGTATTTAGGTGAAACACTAATACAGATGCACTGGTTGCTGTTATCAGTGTGGTTGGTTACAGTTACTGTTGCTGCTGTAGCTTTTCCTGCTGTTGTTACTGTTAAACAGGTTCAAAACAATTCGAAAGAATTGTTTTCGGATGCTGGTTGACCCAGTTCTCAGGCAGTTTGAGAAGATTTTCCTAACATCGAGTCAAAAATCCGCTCTCTTGTCACCGCGCCGTCTATGGTAATGCAGTTTCCTCAATGTGCTTTCATTCTGCGGTGTCCTCCGCTGCAGACAGACAGCGATTCTCGTGTATGAACAGGCGTTGAGCTACTTCCCCATTCTTGGTCACAGTTGCTCAATTCAGCACAGTGCAGGATGCCACGTGAGAGCTGGGAATGCAGGATTCATTAACAGGGGGAGGGTGGACCGAGGGGGTTCCCCAGCTCTCAGAGATGATGATAAAAGTAGGGTATGGTGCTTTACAGGACTGTGCAAACCATGAAGGGAAGGAAGGGTGTGTGTGCAGGTTTGATTTCCACATATGTGGTTGTAGTTTTTGTGTTTGGTGTTGATCTCTCTCTGGTTGCTTTCCACATGCTTTGACATTTCGCCCGGAGCACTGCACACTGACCCTCAGACTGAGGAGGTAAACAGTGGCGCAGTTGGCCTCTGATGGCTGACATTATTGAGTCTACTGAGCCTCTGTTCTCCTACCTGCTTTCTAGTGTTAAAGTTAAGGAAGTAATTTACATCCTAAATATAAATATATGTGACTATTCAAATCGCAGTGAGATGGTATCAAGGAGCAAAGAAGTCAGTTTCACTTTTACAAAAGGAAATATGTTTTGTTTTGCACAGTTTCTTCACCAGCTGTTCTTTCACTGTTCACACCAGCTGATCGTGGACACTAGAACAACAGATATCCCCACAGAAGTGTCCCTCCTCCTGCTGTACACTGTGTGACTGCTGTGGTCTTTGAGGATTAAGTGAATATTAGTAACTATACAACAATTTGCTCCTAAAGCAAACTGCTCGATTTTGTGGATTCTGCAAACTTTCCATTTTTCCGTGTCATTCCTCTTTTAGTAGTTTTGTTTATCATCACGAGGGATGGGAACATGTGAGTGGACTGTGGGGAGGGGCTGGAGGTGACTGGATGACCCAGGCTTTGACCTCTAACACATAAGATCACAAGTAAACCGTTCATGAGAAATCTGCCGCCCTGTTCACTTCATTTATGTCTTGTTTGATGCAGAGACTTTATTATAAGGGGTCTGTGTTCTCATCTCATACTGCTGCTGACTTACAGCGAGAGTGGTTTTCATTTCTAGATTACAAGATTTATAGTTAGAGTTGTTTTGATACCAGTATTCCTCTGATACGAGGTATCAGCCATCATTTATCGGGACCTGGGAATGTCCTGTTCACCATTGAGTTTGTTTAACAGTAATTTAATTCCTTTTGCACAAAACTCTTGCTCAGCAAATATGAAAAATACTATCAGACTGTTTATTTAAACCCGTATGAACATTAGTTTTATGAGAACTATGAATTATAAATTATTAATTTGATCATTTGATACTTTGATGCTCGTCAATCTAAGCAGCTTAGAAGTCACTCACCGCGACCTGGTGGGATTTAAGAGGTTTTATACATCCAAAATCTGTAAAACCAGACCAGGCCTCTAATTGAGACCTGCTGTTATATAGTCAGAACACGAAGCGACACCAGGCCAGTAAAGGAGACCTGCTGTTAATTGAACTAATCATATCTAGATTGAGATGCGACACACAGCGGTTTAAAGTCTCTAACGATGGGCAGCATGGTGTTTGTGCTCAACCCTTCCTCTCTCTGCAGCTCACTTCTGCTGTGAAACTCAGCTGCTTCCTGTGTCGGGGTGGGAGACATCTCCCTCTCTCACCCCCCGACACACAACCACCGTACACACTGACAAACACATGCAACCCCCAAGACCTCAGCTCATTTCATACATGCTGTTTGTCATTTGGAGAGACCTAACGAGATCACAGACTCAGCGAGGGGGCTCACCTGTACAAGTTTTGACGTAGTAACATGTTTCTGTATTAGTCCGCCCTATCATGGTGGTGGTGATGGTGGTAATGGTGGTGGTGATGGTACTACATTCCCATGGCTATATAGCTTGTGTGTAAATGTGTTTGAAAGTTTGACTCTCACAGGCTTAAAATCTTATTTGAGCCCAAACAACCCATATTACGTATATATTTATATATACCTGCTGTTGGGTATCCCCTTAAGATTAATGCTTAAGATGTGTGTAATCGAAAAGTAAAGATATGAATAGATCAATTAACTGATATGTTATTATAAGAGTTTTACTGTTATAATAGAAGGAACTTTTGGAATTAGGAGCACAACGCTGCTTTAAGATGTTAGTCACAAAGATATCGCCACTTGTTCTTCCTCGGTTTGTTTTACTGGAGAGGATTAACACGCTTTAAGTGGCTTTTCCATCTTGATTAAACTCTTCATATTATTTGCCTTTGCCAAAACCTTTACTTTAAACCATGATATATAAGATATATAAGGGTTCTGTTTGGCTGCCAGACGTTTCAAGTCTATGAAAATCACTGTTTATGCTCTTTGAATATGTAGGATCCCTAATTATTAGTGATTTTCTATCTTAACAATACATTACAGTACAACAGTTGTTTGTTTTTGGCATTAAGTTTTGGCTCCGTAGCTCTGTAATGTAAAGCAATGTTTCGTTCTACATTGCAGCATATATGATGTAACTGATATACATTGTGTAGGTATTGCCTCAGCCTCGGTGACACACAAACCGATGATGCATGCCATGAAATTGTGAGTCACTGGAGACGCTGTTTGTGGTGACACTTGGCACCTGCCTCCCCTTCTTTCTCACTCTCACATTTCACTCCCACTCTCCAACCCCGACCGTCACCCCCTACCCTCCCACCAATCGCTGTCCTCCGACACCACAGCGGCTGCCGACCTCTTCCCCACATGCAGCTGCAGCTCCGTGCAGCCATGATGCTGCCCGGTGCCTCTGGGCCCGGGTTCTTTCCACCACACACACTCCACACACACACACACACACACACACACACACACACACACACACACACACAGACAGACCACTACTTTTACCTCCAACCCACTTTCCTGCACCTGTCCGGCGTCTTCCTCCCTCAGCAATGCACTCACAAACACTCACGCATGCAGACGAGCTTAGTATGTTCCATCAATATTTGCTATAGCAGTTCCGTTTTCATACACAAGCTTCTCCCTCCTTCAGTTTCTCCACTGTGTGTGTGTGTGTGTGTGTGTGTGTCTGTGCCACCTACAGCACACAAACCTGATGACCAAACAGAAATCTAATGTCTCATTACAAAGAGACCATTCAGCCCCCCGAAGTTAATTTTAGTGTCATTGTAGTTGTTTGAGATACTAAAAGTCTTCCACTCAGTGAGCATACAGGTCGTATAGTATGTTCCATAAAGTGTTCCATAAAGTGTTTCTGTCGATTCAAAATGAAACTAGATTACAGTTTTTATACCTTTTATGTTCTACAGTGCAACAATGTGTGATTTTAATGCAACTGCAGACACTCCAGACAAAAGAGCCGTATTAACAGTGACCCGAGAGCTCACTGGGTGGTTGATTGATCTTTAAGTTGAAATAAATAATAATAAAAACTGACATATCTTACAATACTACACCTAAAACTGTAGTAGTAACTGTGTAGTACTCTACCCAGTCCTCATATGGCCTAAAGGCATCATAAATGATACGCTGTAAGTAATATTTACTCTGTAAGGGTCTTTAATACTCTACTGGTTAATGATATTTCCAATGTCATACTTTTGTAATTATATAAACATCTTATGGTTTTAAATCTGCTTGTAAAACAGCACACACAGTATTTCCTTTTGAACTAAGCGTTAAGTAAATTATTCTTATCTGAGCAACAACTGCTGCTCTTCTTTTTATAAACAGAAGGAACTGAAAGTGAAGACCTCATAACTCTAAATATGCTCTGTGACGTCTCTCTTCATTTATAAACTCTAAATTTATTTGACTTCTGAGACGTTTACAGCCGTCAGATGCTCGATGGTAAATGATAGTTCTGCGTTTTAGACTAGCACATTGATACCACTCTCAACAAATATGTAAAGCTAGCAGGCAGTTAGCTTAGCTTAGCATTAAGACTGGAAGCAGGTGGGAAACAGCTAGCAGGGCTCCGTCACTTGTAGGCAGGCTCATATTTAACAGACATTTACCAGGTAAAAATCTCAAATTAATGGATTTCCCAAGATGTCAAACTATTTCTGGCTGCATCCAAACAGAACCGCCGCTGATCTGAAGCAGGTCAGACAGTCTGCCATCTAATACAGAACTGTGTAATAAAAGTCAGAGCCACCTGACATGTTATGGCTGCATCGGATATCTAATATCAGACTGTTTGAACAAAGATCGAAGCTTCACGTTGACGCCGACGTGTATCATTTCTTACAAAAATGCTCCAGCGGGGGCTAAAGCTCTTGGAGAGACATGTTAGCAGTTGCTTTGCTCTTATTCTCTGCTTGTTAATTGCACAGCCGTGGACTCCATCCAGACTCAAGTTACACATTTAATGACTTCTGACTAAGCAAAATCCAAACCGACTGCACTGATGACCTGTGACTTCACTTGGACTCGAGCCTTGAGAGGGAAAGAGGGAACAATGGCTGCTGCCAGCAGTACATGCAGAGACAGAGCAGGAAAAACACCTAGCCGGCTGTTTGCACTGAGCATGTCCAGTGACACATTCAGGAGGATGAGGAGTTTCCCCTACATCTCACGTGTTACTGCACTGCACTTTTTTTGTTGTATAACGTTTGTGTTATGGCTATGGAAAGTGTTCAGAGCAGCACAGCGTGGCAGTGATGGCACTAAAATGGTTGAGAGACACAGACGAAGGATTCAAAAAGCTTAAAACGTTGTTAAGATTTGACTTTGGCTCCTGTCCCACCACTTTCACACACGTCAGGAGCCATCGTGGTCACTCAGGGAGACACTCACACACACATAGGCGCACTAACACACACACTTCTTCCACTCTGAGGTGAGGTGGCGAGCGTCACCGTGGCAACAAATTGTAGGCGGGGATGGCCTCGACATGAGGGTAACAGATAGAAATTGAGAGATGGAGGAACCGAAAGTAGGCCGATGTGAAAGCCTGGTGTGTGTGTGTGTGTGTGTGTGAGTGTGTGTGTGTCTATGCGTTGGCGTCTCACAGTAAAGCTCTCCCTGCAAGGTGTGTGTGTGTGTTTGTGTGTTGCCTCTGAGGGCGGTATATGTGTGACGCTTGCGTGTGTGTGTGTGTGTGTGTGCAGATGAGTGTGTAGGTTGTGGATGAAAAAGCTTATCTGTGACGTGTTAGTGTTGATCCAAAGTTGAGGTTTTGAGGGCAGCCTACAGGTTTAAAGAAGAACATTACAGACCATCTATCCATTTGTTTATGTCAGTAATTGTTCAGTTTTATTGTAGCTTTGCTTTGTTAAACGATTCTGTGATTATATTAATGACGATGCAATTGCAGCAGGCTTATATTGTCGGTATATAGCCCCATAAAAAGGGAAGTAGAGGAGAGAAAAACTATTTGCATTTCAGAAGAGATCTTTAAAGGTCACTTCATCCAAATTACAGAAAGACATTGTTTCCTTTTGCTTTTATTGGTGTCTGGAGTCATTGTGAGATATAAATCCACCTTTTATATTCAAAGTGTAGTGTCATAAACAAAGTCCTGGTTACACAAGATTGTCCACAGACCGTGCTATTAACAGTTTTCAAAGGGGACTATTTTGTCAGTAGAAAGTAGTTCCGGTGAAAATTTCTTTCAACTAAATCTGTGGATTATCTAACCAGAGCTGAGTTTATGGAAAAGTCCTAAAGTTGGATAATTTTAGAAGATTTTTCAAGCAAAACATATTATGAGTTTATAAAATATAGATTCATAGAGAGTCATATAGAGTCATAGATTAAACTAGTCAGTATATAGTAAGAACAGTTCAAATTAGCTCCACCTCAACTAATTACAACTGTGAAATGCTACTTGCACATTCAAATGCATCAATAATAATAATAGTACCTCACCCCAACTGGTCGAGACAGACGACCACCTAGAGCTGAAGGATCTGTCCTAGGCTTCTGCCTTTTAACAGGCAGTTTTTCCTTGCCCCCATCGCCAAGTGTTGCTCATGGTGGTACTGTTGGGTCTCTGTAAATGTTATAACAAGTCGGTCTAGACCTGCTCTATTTGAAAAGTGTCCTGAGATAACTTCTGTTATGAATTGGCGCTATACAAATAAGATTGAATTGAATTGAATTGAATAGTAATCCAATAATATAATAGAGTATAATAGTGTAAAAAGGGCCTTACGTTTGCATTATGAGTTGTTAATTAGTAAATTTTTACTGATAATACTTCTTAGTATCATTTTTTAATATGTAACCGAGTATTTTCATAGTTCATAGTGTTCCTACTTTTATTTCAGTGAAAACCTGAAGCTAATCTCTTTGTTATTTAATGACAACTGTGTGCTCTGTGTAGTATCAGAGTGAAACCTGATGAAACCTGTGTGATCCTTTGCTCATGCTGCTGGTTGTTTGTCTTACTGAGTGTGTGTGTGTGTGTGTGTGTGTGTGCCCCCAGTGCCACGTGAGCAGCTGCTGCAGACGGAGGAGTACGACTTGAACGTGGTCCGTCTGTGCATCCAGGTTACCCTGCAGGACGAGAACGGCCACTACACCCGCCCACTCAACCCCATCGTCACAAACCCCATCTACGACAACAGTGAGTGGCTGAGCTCCGTCCTCTTCAGCTCAGGCTGACGTCACATGGGGCAATTAAAACATTATGCAATTGTCAGATAATTGTACTTACGGGAAAACAAGCTGCCTGATGTTAGGTGTGTCCCGCTTTGACTGATAGTGGAATTCAAGAGCTCTAATACTCCTGTCATTTCATAGCATTGCCTATAATTTTATGTCCTAGTGATCTAAAGAATAATACTTGAATGAAAAGAACTGAGAGGTTACACAAGTACCTGTGTGTGCACATACACTTCATACAGTATGTAGCTGCACGCAACTGTTTGTTACAAGACTTGTGTCCAGTGGACGTTCACTCAACGCCGTTTCAAGCGTTGCACTAAGTGAACCGGTTCAATGTTCCTCACACACATTGAGAAAGAGGAAGTTCTTTATACACACTAACCCTCAAACAACACTGTTACCATGGAGCACTTCCTCTTCTGACAGCAAGGCATGTGACATGTGACTCAACCTGGTGAGACTTCAACTGTGAACAGAATGTGGTCTTTTTCTAAAACTGATTTACACTGAGCCACTAGAGCTGGGTTTTCACAACAATGCATCAAATAGATCAAGAAAGGCAGATTCTGGCATCCTCATTCTTGATATCATGTCTTACTTGTAGTACGCAGTTAGTATACAGACTTGTTAGATTTGTTGCGTCTGTTTACAACGTGTTCCTGCTTCATCAGGGGCCCCAAACACAGCCGAGCTGAGGATCTGTCGGGTCAACAGGAACAGTGGCAGCGTCAAGGGAGGGGATGAAATCTTCTTGCTGTGTGACAAAGTACAGAAAGGTACAAACTATCAATGTCCTGTAGGCCTTTGTGAAGAATTGATCAGCATTTTATTACAGTATTCTGCATGTGTTTCATCCAGCTTGCATCTATTTTCTCTCCAATCGTCTTCATTTAATCCATTAATCCATTTAGCTTCCTATAGCTGTAGTGCTCATCCCTTTGCATGTTCACTCAGTCTTCCATTCCTGTCATCCCATCATCTCCCTTTCCTCCAGATGACATCGAGGTGCGATTCTTCTCCTCCGACGGCTGGGAGGCCAAAGGCTCCTTCTCCCAGGCCGACGTTCATCGCCAAGTAGCCATCGTCTTCAAGACTCCGCCTTACTATAACACCTCCATAATAGAGTCAGTCACTGTGCACATGCAGTTGCGCCGACCTTCCGATCAGGAAGTCAGTGAACCGATGGATTTCAGATATCTGCCCGACGACAAAGGTGAGCAGTGATTGCTTTCTTTCTGTTATTAAACTCAAACTATTGCTATATTCTGTGTCCAAGAACTGGGGCCCAGTTAGACTCAGATGATATATGTGAACATGTTGTGTTTGCTGTAGATCCTTACGGCTACAATGAGAAGAAGCGCAAGAGAGAGAACTTGATGAGGATACCAGGATTGTCAGGTAAGGGTCTATACAGTATATACAGTACAACCCATCTGATATGACTCCACATGTGCATGTATACAAGTCTACATGTTTGTATCTCAACAAAGGTTTCTTGCCTTTCTCTAGGTGGTGCTTTTTCTTGCCTGGCTATGAACAGGCCAAAAGCAGTGTCGCAGAGCACCTTGAGTCACATGCGGAAAGGTAACTGGTTTAAATTGATTTCCCTCAAATAGCAGTGATTAGATGTTAAGCCAACATTTCCATCCAGATCAAGATAATGCACTCAAAGTCACTATATGTTTTCCAGACCTCAGCAACATGTACCTGAGGCAACAGCCCACAGCGACGATGCATCAACAACCTGCTGTGTTCAACCAGTCCTACCAGCCGGGCCCACAAAATGTGATGATGACGTCACAGGCTTCCAATGTACCAGTCAGCCATTCATGGGCAAATCCCAACCCAGCACTCTCAATGGAAACAGTCACCATAAACCCGTCTGGTGGCATGGGCAATCTGTCACGTCCTAATAGCAGGCAACAGCAGCCAAACCGTGGATCCGGTTATCCCCAGAGAGTGGAGCCCAACAACTTTGACAGTAACATCCTCCCTCAGCTCTCCATTCGGGACTTGCAGTGCTTGGATACAGCCACCCAGGTCCCAGGAATGAGCCAGTCAGAGTCCCAGCAGCTCTTCCACATGCAGCACCAAAGGGAGGAGCTTGCCTCTGACACCCGGGCCCAGAACCAACTTGGCAACCAGAACCAGGGTCTCCAGACTGCGTGGCTGAATTTCAATAACCTCAATCCAATCCAGAACACCTTTAACGGGTCGGTACCTGGAGGCGGAGGGGGGTCACAAGGGCTAGGCTCTTTCCCATTACTAGAGGGAATAAATGAAGATGAAGCTTTTGTGAAGGGCCTGGTGGGAATGTCTCAGACTGGCTTCCAGCTGAAGCAGGAGCCCCAGATCACAGTGGGACAAGAGAGCCATGCTCCCCTCATGCAATCCCCAAGGGAAAACCAAGGAAATACTTACACCAACTTGCTTCCTCGTCCAATGAGCAATGGCACCAACATGGATCCAATGAGACAAGATGCTAGCGGCAACACCCAGGCTCTTAAAAACCTGCAAAATCCTTACTCAAACAACGGCATGGCCTCCGACAACCACTTTCCAACCTTGGCTGACTGGATCAAAGCAACTCGGCAAAGTGACTAAAAGGACTAACATTTTTGGTAGCAAGAAATAAGCAGAGAAAGCACCGAAGGAACGCTTTGGTCTTGTTTTAGTCTTGCAAAGCCAGAAATGTATCACTCCTTCTGGCCCAGTTCGGGTCAGTGGGCATTTGCTTGGGCTATAACATTAGTGTACGTTAGCCAATTGGATCCATAGCCAGACAAAAGGCATTGTTTCTGTCAATACGCTTGATTTCAGACTAGTTCCTTCTTTAGCTAATACTTAACCAAGAGTTATTCCTTGGCCTGATTGGCCCAGTGTGCCATTGGTCTTTGGTATTAATCTAGAAAGAAGTTTCTCCTGAAAATGATCAATCCAATTTGATTTCTTGATAAATTTGACACATGAAATAAACAATGCAGAACCTGTTTCAGAACCTTTAATTTTAAGAGCACCTTGTTCAAAGCCCCAGTTTACAAGTTCAACCCCGACCTTTAAACTGAGGTGTTGTAGGTTGCATCGACGTTCTGAACACCTGTTTCCAGTTACAGGTGTTATGGACCTCAGGGGATATCCCCCATGATTAGACAGTAAAACTGAGCTCACCTGTGTTCAGCTGGCTTCTGCAAGACTAAGACGTGTATGTGGTTGAACCACGGCCGAGGTTGTAATGGTGATCAGACGACATCCTGACGGTTCCCAAGCCGCAGTTGATTTCCGAAAAAGTGAATGTACTACTTTCTTTCTTTGTCTTTCTCAGGTGAAGTTGGATTCACTGTCAACATACTGTATAGTAATCAATGTTTTTATAAGTTGTTTGATCTTAAAAATAAACAAGGGTAAATGGATTTTTCGCATTTTTGAAAGTACAGCAGAAAAAGAATTTGCTTTTTATGACTTTTTATGACTTTTTATTGCTTTGTAAAGCATTCCTTCACATACTGTTTTATTGATTTATTGATTAGTTTATTAAGTGCACTCTGTACATACATGTTAGCCATAGTTGAGAGTGAAAGCAACAATCGCGCTGAAACACTCAAGAACTGGCAAGGTACTGAAATTTCCATTGAGGAAGTGGGAGGAAGCACATTCAGTGTTGTCTTTCCTTTGTAATGACTATGTCATACCAGTGATCACATGTGTTATTCAGAGTTCTCAGAGTATTTGTACCAGATGTTTTTATAAAGACAGATGGAAATGTTGTGTTTTATTCATTCAGCTGAGGCTCTTACCTTCACAGAGCGTCTTGCTCGAGGACACGTGGCTGATAATGAACAAACACTGGCTCTTTGTGCCGATACAGCCTAGCCCATCCTTTTGATTTGTTTTTACTTGTATGCCTTTCAAAGCTTTGTGGTGTTAAATGAAATTAAATATTTTGATGACTAATGTGTAAGATTTGCTATTTTTGGATTTTTCTAAAGGATCAGTTCTTAATAAACAGACGCTGTCTAATTCCACATCTTTTGTCATTTAATGATCATCTTTATATTATCTCTTTATATATTATATATATCTCTATATACTCTATACATGATCTTCACCTGCAGGCATGCATAACAATTATACATCGTCATAAAGCATGACCAGGTGCTCATTAGGTAATGCATTACTTTCTATATTATTTGTCAGTCAAAGGAACAGTTTGACATTTTGGGGAATGCATCTTTTTTCTGTCAGCATGACTCATGTCTGACAATCTGACTTGTCGTGCACTTTTTTTAATGGATTAAACAAACAAAATATTAATTAGTGAGTTTTAGAGGTGCTGGTAGGCTAACTGTTCCTCCCAGCTATAAGTCTTTAACCAGAGATAAGCTAACCGTCTCCTGGCTTTATATTCATCGTACAGACACGAGAGTGGTATCGATATTCGTATCTAACTTTCAGATATGCTCAGTAAATGTTGTTTGAGCACACAGCCGACTGGATACTTGGAGAACGCTGTGTGTCTTTTATTAAATACTGTAAATGATCAGCTTTCTGTACAGAATACGGTCGACTTTAGAAGTCACCAGCTGCCCAAGAAAGGAACTGTAGAGACTGTAATTACACTACTGCTGTAGTGGATAATATGGCATTATATATTAATCATGTATTGTGCATATCGAGTATCCAATATATTAATATTAAGTTTGCATACAAATTGTGGTTGAATTTGTTAGTTTCACACATGCATACACTTCTGTTTTCACTAACAGCGTATTAAAGGTTTCTTTTAATCATTACTCATTACTCTGTTTTAGAGCCCACTTTTAATTCCACTTATAATAATTCAATATGTGGTTCTTGAAATCTATCGTTTCCCTTTTGTATTTGTTTCTAATTACCTCGTGTTTGCAAGCGAAAACAGATGTTAATCTGTCTCTTGCCTTTGTTATGACTTACATCAGATAAACGTATAGGATGGTGAAGTCACTTTGTGTACAACACTTTAAACTTTTCAAATTAAGTTTTGTTTTGTACATATTTTACGTGAAATGACGTGCAATTCTGACACATGTGAAACTGTTTACCTCAAAGCTTCAATGATCAGGTGGCACGAAGGAAATGTGTAAAATCTTCAGTCAACCGCTGGAGCTTCTGGATATTCAGTGTGCTGCTCAGTGGCACTTCAGCAGGGCACAGATTGAAGGACAGACTCTAAACTTCACAAACATCTAAATGCTAAATAAATGGCAGGTGTAATGTTTACTGGGGTTACCATCTTAGCTTAGCATGTTAGCGTGGAACATTTTCAAGCACTAAACACAAAGGTGCAGTTGAGGTTGATGGCAATGTCATTAGTTTTATTATTGATCATAAACAAAAGTATTTGAACATTTTTTATGATTCGTATTGTATTTGAGTTCAGCAACAGATGAACAATAAAAGACACTTATAACGACATATACATGTATAGCCAGCATGTAAAATACAGTTAATGGATTATACATATTATATAAATACACTTACATATAGCTGTGTAAGACAGGAAGTGGAAATACTTACAAAATACTACAAAATAAAACGAAATAACTAAAAATGAATAATAGTAAATTTAATTAAATATAGAATAGAACATCTTTAAAAAGGAAGCCACAACATGAATCTCTCCGCTACAAGATAATAAAGAATGCTTCCTATAATAGACGTTTCCACTCACACCTATCACATAATTTCCTGTCACGCATTCTCACACATCTAATCCTCAAGTTAAGACCACAGACTGTATAATTCAAAATGGACGTAGTCTCCGTGACGTCCCCGAAGAGAGACGCTTTAATACGGGGCCTTATGGACTCTAACTGCTCAGTAATGATGCAAACAGGGAAGACACAGTAATAGATAGTGTTCCACAAAGCTTATTAAGACCTATTCATATAAACATGATATCACACCCACTTTAGAGATAAAGTTCCACCTTATTGAGCAACCTGAATGAAATACTATGATGCTAGAGGAAGCGATATCACCCAAATCATTAGCCTTCATCCTCTGGGGACCGTGAAGAAGTGGTGACCGACCAGCACTGCCAATAAAAACTCCATAATGCACATTAAGTCTGCAGGTTCTTGTCCCCCCCCCCCTCTGTATGTCAGTACATACTGCTGGTGATGCCAGTCATGATAGCTGTGAGTTTGCTCAGTTTGTACAGTTTCATATTTACATCAGTGCTGCTCACATTTTCATCATAAATATGCGATGGATCTCGATTTGGTGAGAAATCAACATCGTGATTGTAATCTTGTTTCTTGAAAAATTCTGCGTTCGTTATTGGCAAGGTACTTTTACAAGCAGAGTGTCCTGAAGCGTCATTACCGAGGAATTGAGGATGTGCTACATTGGAGATGTTTGTTTTCTCTCGTATTAGGAGAACTGAGGTGAAATGCTGAATGTAGCTTCCTTTCTGAACCGCAGTGAACCCTTGATTTAACCTCAGCGCACAGGATACTAACAACAGTCTGCTCACAGGCTTTTGGTTTTGGTTCTCTGGTCCCAGTTCATTTGCAGACAGACGTTTACACTTTCAATATAATCTACATTTGTTGTTTTGACTCACGCAGTTTTTAATTCAAAAATCTTAAATCTTAAAGATAAATAAAAAGAACATGTTTGTTTGGAAGAGATTTTCTGCCAATGTGAGCAGGAAAAAAGATTCTTTAAGTCACTATAATGAGAAACTTTCTCAATATTTAATGACCTAGTATCACAAAGTCATTATTCTGAGATACTGAGTTTATTAGAGATCTAGGAAAGAGATCTTAATATGACGTCAGATGTTCGATGTCAGTGTGGTGTGCCAGGGGGAGCCGACCGATGCAGGTGCGTCTCAGGTTTTGTGTAAGAACGTTTGTGGGAACAGTGGGTAAGTTTCAGGTCAGTGTGTGTTTCTTTTCTTTCTTTTAATCTGTAGATGAAATGATGGTAATGTGTTTGTTCCTGTAACATTTGTTACTACATTGACCTTTTGACACAACCCTGATGTTTTGACATCTGAACTGGTGAAATTTCTCTCTTTACGTTGGTCAGAGGTCACGTCGGAGTTCACTTGAGGTAAAGCACTCTTACTGTACGTAGACTTCTCTTTGTCTGAAGGCTCAAGCACAAAATGTAGCGCTGTGGCATCACTACACCTTCAATTAAAGGAGATTTTAACAGTCTCAGTTTAATATATTACCTCCATAAACTAACAAAACCAGCAGAGAGAAGATTGTTTTTTATATACACAATGAAACTATGAAAATATTTATTGTTCAGGTAACTTTGGGTTTATTTAGTTAATTGTACAAATTCCATTCAGTTAATTGAAGTTATGCTCATATGCAGCATTTCTCCAAACTTATTTAACATCTTAATTATCTGAATAAAGTCCCTTAAATTCATCTTCTTTATACAAATGTTACCACAGAGTTTAAATGTACTTAGTTTCCTTCCACTGAAGCAACAGCTTACGTACAATTAAAACAAGTTTTTTTTATGTGACTAACATCAAATCTTTACACTTTGGGGGATAATTAAGAATTATTTCAATGCACATTGATGATATGAAATAAATACAAAAGCTGAAGAATCCTGAGCTGTACAGAATTATAATTACATACATTTTATATACATACTTGGACAAAATAAGTCAATGGAACAAAACTGGAATTATATCACTAAATACTTAAAATACGGCACAAATTTAAGTTCACTCAAAACAACTGAGTTGCTTCAACAATTCCTTTTTGAGTTTGTTTAATTAATGTTCTTTTGTTTTGTTTTTGGAGGATTAATTTAAGTTACAGTGCAGTTATTCTTAACGTCTGCCACCCGGGTCGGTTTCCCCTTGAAATCAATGAAACAAGGAGCTGGAAACACTTCTGCTTCTGTCCGCCAGAATCAACACACAATGAGAAAGGTGTGTAGGGTCACAAACCCACGATGATTCCTTTATTCCTTATTCATTCATTTCTCCCAGTAGAGCCTCATAAATGTTACACACTGGACCTTTAAATGACATTGTTCACCTCACTTTAAGACCAATAATGACAATATCAAGCTTTGATATCGATGAATAAAGATCTTTAAAAGTAAAAGAGAGCAATTAAACCTGCTGTTTTAACTCTGGGGCTCACAAAGGGGGAGGGGGGAGCAGTCTCCAATGTTTAGGTGTGAGACCTGAACGCAGCACTCGGTGGTCCAGAGGTATCAGACACACATGTGGAAAGAGGTAACACGAAGAACTGGGCTGTGTAATAAAGATATTGCAACATCAGATCCACTTTATTGGTAAATAGCTCAAATAAGAGAACCTCATGTCCTCACAGACACAGATGAAGCAATGCTTTTGACAGTCAGGACATTTCATTTCTGCAAGGAGCCGCGTCGGGACCTCGAGAGCAGAAAGATCTCGCTGTTCGAACATTGCATGAAGTGTGTGTGCACACATTGCATGTGCTGTATGTTGTGTGTGTGTGCAGCCATGTCTGCGCAGACAGAGTGAAAGTATGTTCAGTGTTTCCTAACCATGTCCTGGAAGAGACAAGCTAGACCTGTTTAGCCACCTGTTTCCAGTAAGGCCTCTCCTCTGCTGCGCTGTCTCCTCCCCCCTAACCATCGACTCCCCTCCTCCCTCCACCCTCCCCCCTTCCTTTGAAGCTCGCACACACACACACACACACACACACACACACACACACAGTCGCTCACTGCAAATGGTTGCTGACAACGGCGGCATCCGGTCACGCTCCACTCGAATGAACCCGCCTTTATCTCACAGAGGGTTTGTACGGCCGTCACAGCCAACAGAGCTGAGGACTGAAAACAGATTTAACTGATATTTATCCACTTCCCTTAAAACTATGGTGATTTATCTGATATCACATATTCAGCCCATTGTCAGCTATATGTAGATATTCACATTAAATCTAATCTAAATCAGATCTGTGGGTTTCAAATTACAGCATATACACTGTTACAGTAAAAGACCGTAAACTCTAGAGAGGTTAAAGTTTCTGTAACAGTCAAAAAACTTTATTTATACGGAATTTATACAGTTATTTTTATATAAAACTTACAATCAACAGTACTAATATCTAAATCTAAATAAGTGTTTTACCTTAAAAATAATGTTGTTTCTTTTGACAGTGTGACCATAAATATGAACACAAACATTACTGTCTGTCTGTCTCATTGTATTTGTCTATCTGCCCCACAGAGGCTATAAAATTATACATTTTTTAAATGAATGATTAATATCAATACAGTAATTCACTTTTATAGGAACAAAAAGGCTCCAAAACTTGAGTGAATTTTATAAATACCTTTTTAAAACAATCTCCTCCTGAATCGACTCATGGAACGAAGCCCAAACAATGTCATAACCACACACGTACATATAGTCATCTTTTCCACCTGTAAAATCACTGAGGCCTCTCAATGAAACACAGAGAACGGTTATTACTTCCATTCTCTGCGAGCAATTTTCCTGATCCTACAATTTGCAAACTTCCTGCAGCACATTTTAATTATAGGTATTGCACCTTCTGTGTAGCTAGAAAGGCTCCTCATGCAAGACCTAACTCATGTTTCAGAGCAGGGAAAATCCCACGCAGCTCTCTGTGTGTGTAATCTTTGACCAGGACGGCGTATACCTGTGTGCTCCAGGCAGAGATTTAGAGACCTGGTTGAGCTCCGTACTGCGGTGGTTATTGGTTCAAGCCCCACCTGTGACCCTCTCCTGTCCACCTTCAGCTGTCTATAAAGGAAAAAAGACACACAGACATATTTAGTGGAAAGAAACAACTACAAACTTCACCCACATCAGAGGTTCACAACCTTTTTCCTCAAGGAATCTCTTTTCTATCATCGAGTAAACTGACATATTTTATGGATATTTCTTATTATATTTAATGCATAACAATAACAGAACAGAAAGACCCAAACAGTGAACTCAGTAACTGTCGGATGTTAAAATCTGAGATTATGTTGAGCAGATTATTACAGTTTTTCTGCTCATTTTAGTGAACTTTTAATACAATTCTGTTTGTATTATTATTATTTTTTACAGACTTAAAAGGTTTCTTTGTGACTAATTCACTCTTTGATTCGGCTCTTTGGTTGTTTGAACTCGCAGGACGAGGCTGTTGATCGTTGAGGTTCTGTTAATATACTTTATGTTCAGGTCTTTAAGGTTTAGACATAAATAATAATCTATAAAATGTGTCTACTGTAACCCCATAAAGTCAAAATGCCATCGCGACCCCCCCATGAAGCTTTGGTAACCCCTGGTTGGGAACCACCGTATTACCACCGTACCTACGTATTTGGTCAAACTTGAGCTGATATTTGACTTTATTATTATATATTATGTCATATAAATGTATGAAATGAACATTTTTGCAGCTTGAACCAGCAGCTGCAGTAGAATCACAGCTAGCTTTGGCTAAATCTAATTCACTGATTCAATATGTTTCCTACTTATAGTTGAAAAATAAATGTTGATGCTCCAATATGTTAATTATCTTATTAATTAACTTTGTTATACACAAAGCACCAGATAAGCTCATTAGCCTAGCTGCTCTTTAGGTTGTCCAGTATTTAATCCTAATATAATCATATTAAAAAAGTTATTTACAACGTATATAACTGTTATTAACTGAAGTAGTTAATAGTTAATAATATTGACCCTAAGCCCAGAATAACTCCGGTGTATTTCCCTTTTTTAAAAGCAGCCATGAAACATATTGAACTTCTGTATCTTCCACCAATATTTTCTCTCAGCAGTTCCACTTTTGTATCGGCCTCCATCTTCCTGTCCGCTATGAACACACACACACACACACACACACACACACACCGCACAGCAAGGAGGAAGCTAGAGTCTGTGAAAAGTACACATAACACTTTCTGGCCAATCCCGCGTGCTTCCCGCCAAAAACACGGCGTACAGCCAGTCAGGAACGCTGGAATTTCAGAGCGAGTGCAGGAATGCTGCTGGTGGGTCCGACTGGAGCTGGAGGCTAAATCTGTCCTCAGAAACAGAAGCAGGTCTGTTGAGGGATTGTTTGAGCTATCTTATGATGACCAACCTACCGTGGCTGTGTAAGGCCGGAATATACCGGGGACGTTTGTGGCAGCCCCGGCAAATTTATATCTAATGAACAACAGTTTGAAGTGCTGATGTAATGCTGAAGAACTCATCCGTGTCTTTATTGTGAGCGACGTCTTGCACGTCGATCTGTTAAAGGTCAATTTCAGTGCCTCATCTTATCTTAATATCATAAACTGTTCGACCACAACAATGTCCACAAGCTTTAATGTGCTTTATATACTGTATATATACTGTACTGCTCAATGTCAGAATCTGGTTTATTGACATGGTGCATTACAATAAATATAGAGACAATATAAATAAAGATAAATATAGAGACAATATGTGCAATATAACCATTATTTGAATAAAAGAGTTGTACATTGTGTTGTATCTGGAGCTGCTGTAGAGAGTCAATATCCTCAGTATGGGATCAATAAAGTCTCATCCAGCCTTAAAGCTCAGATCTCACTTTATTTGTTATATTAGTAATTTATTTATCTATTTGTTATATTAGTAATTCTGTGTGGTAGTGGCCCGTGTCAGGTTCCAGTATGAGCAGGATACGGTCCTGAAGTGATGACGATCTAGAGTGACGTCAAAGTCACATGAATTCTGATATGACTGTTCACACACTCAGACCTGAAATCTGATCTGGATTACAGAGCAGCTAAATCAGAGTCACACACACGCACACACACACACACACACGCACACACACACACACACACACACACACACACACATAAAAAACATCAGATTTGGGCCTTCAGTGTGAACGCTGCCTTTGTTTCAATTAAAGGAATAGTTCAACATTTGGGAAATATGTTTATAATGTTATATAATGTGTTAATTAGTGAGCTTTTCCCTTCAACCTTTAGGAAGAGCCAGGCTAACCGTATTTAACGGACAGACGTGAGAGGAAACATCTGTATGAGCTTCCAACAGTCCAACCAAAGAGTCATATTTCATTTGAGTTGCTTCAATCGCAGCAGAAAGTCTGATTATAGGATGAAATGGGATCAAATGAAGCTAGAGTCACATTACTTTTAACCATATTCTCTAATCGAAATGCTCATTTTTCCTACATTTGCTTTATTGTGACCTTCCTACGACATCACAGCCTTAAAGGTCACAGGTACTCAGCACAAACCCTCAAATACCAGGACCATCATCAGCTCAGGCGTCTGCCCACACAGTGCGACACTCTGTGGCCCGGGATCCTCGACGCCACGTCACAAACGGCAGCCTCAGTCTCACACACCCACATCACAGCTCCACAGCAGCTTTCCCTCACTCTCACATGCGTAGTCACCAACCCCCTCCTCCCCTACAGGGTTAACTCAATGAGGCCTGAGTCTGACAGCTAGTGAAAGCTCAGAGGGGAATCCATCCTCAAAACAAAAGTCATACATGTCAAATGTAAGTAAAATGTGAGAGCTGCTATGTCAGCAATAAAGCAGACTGACGTAAGGAGCAGTGACAGCGCCCCCCCCCCTGCTCGGCCCCGGCTGATGTCACTGCGTCGCTTTCATAGTTTTGATGCTTTGTGAGCAGCTTTCTGTCTGCTGCCAGCGATCTGATTGTGTGACTGATTCTGTTTGAGATAGCTCAGAATTCAGAGAAGCAGTCAGCGCCTCACAGTCGAGTGTTAAAGGAGGAAACCGTGCAATGTGCAAACCGTGTTCTCGTAAAAAGAAGAGCACAGGCTTTTCTTGTTTGTCATGTTTACTTGATAACAGTTTGTTTATTCAGCTGACATTTGAAATGTGAACTTGCTGCTGCAGGTGGAGCAGAGACACGCTGTAATGTTTCTGTTTGCTCCAACAGCTAACGATTTAAAATGAGCGTTAACAATGCGACTGGACGTAAATTAATCAAATACTAATTACAATCTGTGTTCTTTGTTTAACCACAATGTGCTACTGAGGAGGGAAATTCCCCTTTTTCCAGTAATATTGCAGCGAACTCTTGTGTTGTGATGAGTCACAGCTCCCCCTGCTGCACAGAAACAGTGCGTTTAACTGTTTAACACTCAGGAGAGTGAAGATTATAAAGATAAAGAAACTAATTCAAATGTTTATCCTGAATGTTAATGTTTTATTAAAGTCTTTAGATTGATTTTGTTGAATGAACCAAATCTATCTTCTCTCAATTATTCTGGTCTGAGCACAAGTTTGTTGTTTTATCTCAAAATAAAGACTTAATATCACAAAGTCATTATTTTAAGATACTAAATCAATATTTCAGGAAAGTTTCTCAATAATAACTTACAGAATCTTTTTACCAGTCGCATCCGCAAAATATCTCATGAATGTTGTTTACAAGAGGTTTTCAGATTTAGTTATTTTACAAAAATAAAATATAAAATAAAGAAACACGAACTCAACAGTTTTAATATGAAATATGAGTTTTCATAAATTGATTGTTTTAGTTTTTATTTGTAAATATAAATAATAATAATATATGTTCAGATCTTCAAGAAGAAGAACATTTTATTTTATGAACTTCATATTTATCTAAACTAATGAGCCAATCGATTATATATTGCTGATTGTGGATCATTTAGAGCTCAATCGATCTTCGATCAATTATTCTGGTCTGAGGACATTTGGTGCCTTTACGATCTGTCGGGAAATTTTTAAACTAAACAAATTCTATGAAATCTGTTTGCAGATAAATATCACAGAGGCCTTGCCAACTTATAAACAAAGAGATACGTTCTTAATAAACCCAAACAGCGTTTAATATCGCGTTCAGTCGCTCTGGGTGCGGATGAATCCGACCACGGACACACGGGCGGCGCTATCGGAAGCAGTAAATTACGAGGCGTCCCGGAAGGCAGCAGGAGCAGCAGGAGGCGAGCTCCGCTTCAGTTTTCGCTGTTTGTTCGATTCCCGCCATGGATTCACAACCTCCGATGAAACCGTGGGAGCGGCGGGTCGCGGGGCCGATGACTGCACCTGGGAACTACAGGTGAGTCCGCGTCAGCCGCGTCAGACTGACATTTTAATGACGTAGCAGCAGGATAAAGTCGTTAGCCACCGAGCTAACGTTGAGGCCCAGCCCTATGCGCATGCGCAGTGTGCTCACAGTGATTGTTATTGTGGTTAAAACGATTAAATACTAAATAAAACGATTAAATACTAAATAAAACGGGCTCCTTCTCTCCGTTTTCTGCTCCACACTGATAACTTAAAGTGTTGTTTCACTGATGTGTTATCACTGATTGCTGTTGTTAGTAATTAAATACCAATAAATGAAGTTTTAATCGTTTCCTGGTTAGGGATTGATCCATATGTTTCTTTATTGGCTGATATATGAAATACTTGCTCACAAGACATTAAAGAAACAGAAATAATAATAATGATAACGTTACAAATATGTGTTTTATTACAATATTTAACAATAAATATAGAAAATAGAACAATATAAAAATCTGTTTTAACTCTATTTTAAGAGAGAAATGATAAACCAGAATCATTAGAGTCACTGAAGAGGTTCTGACCCGTCTTGTCTTGTCTGGACTTTGTCACCGAACAGGTCTGTGAACTTCGGCCCGCCTGCCGGCCCCTCTGCTCCCGCGGGCCCTCCGGTTCTGACCCGGATGGCGCCCCCAGTGCCTCCTCGCCCCGTCCAGCAGACCTACCGTCCGCCCTACAGCTCTTTCGCCTCCTCTTACAGCCCCTATGGGAGCTCCATGTACGGGGGGTACAGCCCCTACGGCGGCGGCGGCTACGGCGGCGGCGGCTACGGCCTGGGAGGGTACGGCCGGCTCCCCCACACGGAGGAAGTGGCCCCCAGCCGGTTCGTGCAGCAGGCCGAGGAAAGCAGCCGCGGCGCCTTCCAGTCCATCGAGAGCATCGTCCAGGCCTTCGCCTCCGTCAGTATGATGTTGGACGCCACTTTTTCCGCCGTGTACAACAGTTTCCGCGCCGTGCTGGACGTCGCCAACCACCTGACGCGGCTGCGCTCTCACCTCACCCGGGTTCTGTCGGCCTTCGCTCTGGTACGCACTCTGCGCTACCTGTACCGACGGTTGCAGAGGCTGCTGGGCCGGAGGTCGGACGGCGAGGCGGAGGACTTGTGGGCCGACAGTGCGAGTGACGCTCTGGCTACGGGAGCGTCCAGAGGGTCGGGGGCGGGGATGGAGGAGCAGACCGTGAAGTCCTGGCCCATCTTTCTGTTCTTCGCTGTGGTCCTGGGGGGGCCCTACCTTATCTGGAAGCTGCTGAGCTCCAACCCCGGCGCCGAAGAGAACGGTGGGACGAACACTCGGGACTTTCTACTTGTGAACTTTATATTTTATGTGAATTAATTCCTGCAGTTTGTTCTCAAACAGTCTGTAGTTCTTCCTCGACAAAGACTGCATCGCTGTAGTGTCAGATTATTTATATATATATGTATAATTCACACTGAGTGGACACTATATATAATTCTTTTTGGCTTTTTATTGCTTTTAGTTTTGATGGAGCATCTGAAGAGTGAAGTGTCATCAGACCCTCAGACGTACAGCTGTAACAATAAAGGTGAATGAATGCAGTCTTTAACTCTAAAAGCTGGTTTGTGTTTCTCTCTTCAGCCACTAACTGGGCCAGCGGGGAGGACGACCACGTGGTGGCCAGAGCAGAGTACGACTTCTCCGCTGCGTCTGAGGAGGAGATTTCTGTGCGAGCTGGAGACATGCTCAACCTCGCCCCTAAAGGTGAGAGCTCTCAACACACTGTATATCAGCCGCTCCTGGTCTGACAGAACCGCTGTGTGGCTCCATCGTAGCTTATTGATGGTCAGTAATGGGAGAGGGAGTAATGATGTTGGTGAACTCTGACCTTTTATCCTGTGTTCAGAGCAACAGCCCAGGGTGCGAGGCTGGCTGCTGGCCAGCGTGGACGGTCAGACCTCGGGACTCGTCCCGGCCAACTACGTGAAGGTCCTCGGCAAGAGGCGAGGCCGCAGGCAGGCGGAGACGGAGAGGCTCGCTCAGGTCCAGCCGGACGCCGCGCAGGCCTCCCAGACTGCCCCGGGCTTCGCACCTGGACCCGGTTCGGCCTCCGCCTCGGCTTCCTCGGAGGAGCTGCTGGAGTCGGTGTACACAGAAACTCCAGCTGCCTTCGGTCTGGGAACGTCCGACGCCAGTTTGCCCTCCAGCGCGGCGCTGAACGTCCCCGAGAGGACCGACTTGTGATGTTTGTGAACGCGTGCGTCTGTATGCAGGTCGTAACGTCGGCCGCCGTTTAACGCTGAAGCTTGACTAATAATCAGCTGGCAGTAGATATCTGCGGAAACATCTCTAAGAATGGCTCAAAGTAGTTCCTTTAATCTGTACTGTTTCATATCATGTAACACAATCTGGACCTTCTGCTGGGAGTATGGATCGAGCACACAGAGGCTCCCTGATGTCCCGTTCAGGAGGTTATCTTCACAGTCTGTTAGTCAGAGCGTCTACGAGAGAGAGAGATTAGTGTGTTCTCTGGTACACTGCTGGAAGATCATGTCTCATATGTACTGTGAGGTTTAACTAAAGTTGAATTAGTGTTTAAGTTAACGAGGTGGACTTTCTGACGCCGTGAGGATAAAGCCAGGGTGTTACTGCGGCGTGGTCCTCAGCGTGGGATCATTCAGGATGATAAAGGGGCTGATTTTGCACATTGTTCAACGTTAGTCACAGAAAGTAATTTTGTAAATATTTAATATAATTATTTTGAAAATAAATATTTCCAAAAATCACCTTTTTTGCCTGTTGTTGTAATTTATTTATCAAAAGTAGAAAGTTGGGTCTTTAAAAGTAGGTTTAATTAGAAATAGCAGTCCCATGGAGAGACATTTATTACAGACTGATTCTATGTGCCTTTAAAAGCTCTTAAAGTTTAATCCTGTTTATATGTTTGCAGTCTCACTTATTTGCTGCTGTTTGTCCTCACAGGAATATTTTAAAGACATTTACTTTACTTTACTTCCACATTAAAATCCTTTAAAAAGTCATCATCTACTTCTTCTACCTCATTAAATTATCATTAATTTAAGGGACGTAAGGCGTCTCCTCCTCCAGTGTTCCTCACTGTGGGGTACGTGTGCCTACAGGAGGGAAAAGACTTATAAAACATGACAAAGCGAAAGATAACTGCTCTTCTCGGAGGACTTCAGTGGCAGTAAGATCATTAAAACACATTAACGAGGACGCAGACGTTCTTTTACTAAAATAAAATATAAATATTTAAAAAAATGAGTATAGAAGCAGATCATTTATTTATTTATTTATGTATTTATTTATGTATTTATTTATTTATTTATTTATATGTATTTATTTATTTATTTATTTATTTATTTATGTATTTATTTATTTATGTATTTATGTATGTATGTATTTATTTATGTATTTATTTATTTATTTATTTATTTATTTATTTATTTATTGATTGATTGATTGATTGATTGATTGATTGATTGTTGGGGGTTAAAAGTCGGAGGAGGCTTTACGGCAGACGGACTCGGTTTCCGGCCGCTGTCGCTAGGCAACGGGACGCTGCAGTGCGACACCAGGGACGAGTTAACGGGAAGAAACGGACGGAACCGACGGAACCGACGCGTAAAAAGCGTTTATTGGACTAAAAGATGTTATTTTATTAACCGCTCGGTTTGCCCTGTGAGCCTGCGGCCCGTCGGTAACGTTTTCCCGCGTCTGCTGAGCTTCAACAAACACAAACATCTGTGCAACAGCAGCTAGCTCATGTGCTAGCCGGATAATGCTAATGCTGCCTTCGCGGTCCGTCGGACATAATAAAGATTCTGGGTGCAGTTGAGTTTGAAGCCTCGTGTTTGACCTTGGAGATAATAAGTAATCAGATTACAACGTCAGACTTCTGAGCTCTTGGTTATAGCTCTTATTTATAAAGTCTCTTTATAAAGTCTTACATCATTTAACACGTAGATACTTTACTCTGAAAACTCAAATAAAGGCGAGTGAGAACCTTTTTAATCCATCCGGACATCGCCACAGAAATTATAAGTAATCTGAATACAACTGCTGCGTTCACGTACACCGACTAACTGCGTCACTGCTGGCCGTGACCGTTTTCCCCCTCTTGTGTTTAGGAGTTTACGAGGAGTACGTGAAGGCGGCAGCAGCTCCTGTCCCGCAAACTTGAGCTGGCGTTAGCATTAGCATCAGCTGCGGGGTAGCCGGCAGGTTGAATCCCGCAGCATCCGGACACAATGACATAAAACCCGGTACCGGCCCGGTTTCCGCTGCACGAGACGACGAGAGGAAGACCTCCGACAGCAGATTGAGTATTTAACGGTTTATTATCTTTATGTGTTTAACGTTAGAGAAGATTTAATTTGACCTGAACGCATCAGATTGATGGAGGAGGAGGAGGAAGAGGAGGAGGAGGAGGAGGAGGAGGAGGAGGAGGAGGAGGAGGAGGCCTGCATCAGCATCACTACTCACACTATAAGTTTTTATATATTAGAACTTACAGTTGATTGATTATCAGAATATCTGCTGATGAAGGGTGATCAATAACTTTTATAAAATATAGTTTTATAATTTTATTTATTTTAATCTGACAGAAGAACACGAGACAGATAATGTGTGAAAAAATCAGGAGCCTCTGTCTCCTCCTTGTGCTCCTAAAGGGATTTACAAGAACCCATTGTAAAGGAAAGGTCCTGGAAAAGGTCCTGGAAAGGTCCTGGAAAGGTCCTGGAAAAGGTAACCGATCATTAAACCAGCTGTATTTTGATCTCTCATCGTGCGTCTTCCTCCGCAGAGATGAGCCGCTTCTGCTCGGACAACAACAACTTCCCCTACGACAACAACGTCCTGGTCCTGGACATGGTGCTGGGCTCTCTGTGGGGGGTCCCCCAGCCCATAAACTGGGACAACGTAGCCAAGCTGGTCCCAGGATTCACTTCCAAGGAGGTAACTATGATCCATCCGCACCCCTTCACGTGTCCCCATTGATGTGTAGTAACGCCTGACGGGGGTCTTACAGTGCGCCCGGCGGTTCGAGGAGCTGAAGAGCACGGGGGGTTTTCCTCCTGTGGACCACCAGTGCAACGCCCTGACGGAGGGCAGCAGCTCCCCCTCAGACGGCCTGTCCACGCTGCTGGACGCCGGCGAGGTGGCGGAGACGGGAGGCAGCCAGAGCGGCGGCAAAGTTACAGGTCAGTTAGTCCCAGATTTTAAACTCAGTGCACATCTGTCTGCAGCTGGAAATCCTCTTTATTCATAAAACCTTTCCTCAAGAGGCTTTAAGAAGTAATGTTAGTAATAAATGTTGTAAAGTGTCTGTATGTGTGATGGAGACGTTTTACATCTACAAACTAACTTTATTTTAATGAAGGTAAAATGTGACTAAACAGTATTACAATAAAGAACTGGAGATGTTGTTATTTTTAAAGTTGAGCTCTTTATTTATGATCAGTCTCGTCCTGCATTAGAAGCAGCGTGCACTACTGGACCAGCCCACAGAGCAGACCTGTGTTATAATATATCGCCACCAAAAGGTTTATAGAGTATTCACAGTCGCTCTGCTGCCGTCGGCAGGCTCCAAATCAACGCCGTCGGGAAGAGTCGGTGCTGTGGAGAAGAAAGAGAGAAGAGTCTCCGCAGAGGAGAACGACAAACCTCAGAAACAACGAGAGTAAGTATCGATAACCTCGATGTTTCACATTAATACACGTAAAACAACGAGAGTAAGTATCGATAACCTCGGTGTGTTTCACATTAATACACGTAAAACAACGAGAGTAAGTATCGATAACCTCGGTGTTTCACATTAATACACGTAAAACAACGAGAGTAAGTATCGATAACCTCGGTGTTTCACATTAATACACGTAAAACAACGAGAGTAAGTATCGATAACCTCGGTGTGTTTCACATTAATACACGTAAAACAACGAGAGTAAGTATCGATAACCTCGGTGTTTCACATTAATACACGTAAAACAACGAGAGTAAGTATCGATAACCTCGGTGTTTCACATTAATACACGTAAAACAACGAGAGTAAGTATCGATAACCTCGGTGTTTCACATTAATACACGTAAAACAACGAGAGTAAGTATCGATAACCTCGGTGTTTCACATTAATACACGTAAAACAACGAGAGTAAGTATCGATAACCTCGGTGTGTTTCACATTAATACACGTAAAACAACGAGAGTAAGTATCGATAACCTCGGTGTGTTTCACATTAATACACGTAAAACAACGAGAGTAAGTATCGATAACCTCGGTGTTTCACATTAATACACGTAAAACAACGAGAGTAAGTATCGATAACCTCGGTGTTTCACATTAATACACGTAAAACAACGAGAGTAAGTATCGATAACCTCGGTGTTTCACATTAATACACGTAAAACAACGAGAGTAAGTATCGATAACCTCGGTGTGTTTCACATTAATACACGTAAAACAACGAGAGTAAGTATCGATAACCTCGGTGTTTCACATTAATACACGTAAAACAACGAGAGTAAGTATCGATAACCTCGGTGTGTTTCACATTAATACACGTAAAACAACGAGAGTAAGGATCGATAACCTCGGTGTGTTTCACATTAATACACGTAAAACAACGAGAGTAAGTATCGATAACCTCGCTGTTTCACATTAATACACGTAAAACAACGAGAGTAAGTATCGATAACCTCGCTGTTTCACATTAATACACGTAAAACAACGAGAGTAAGTATCGATAACCTTGGTGTGTTTCACATTAATACACGTAAAACAACGAGAGTAAGTATCGATAACCTCGGTGTTTCACATTAATACACGTAAAACAACGAGAGTAAGTATCGATAACCTCGGTGTGTTTCACATTAATACACGTAAAACAACGAGAGTAAGTATCGATAACCTCGGTGTTTCACATTAATACACGTAAAACAACGAGAGTAAGTATCGATAACCTTGGTGTGTTTCACATTAATACACGTAAAACAACGAGAGTAAGTATCGATAACCTCGGTGTTTCACATTAATACACGTAAAACAACGAGAGTAAGTATCGATAACCTCGGTGTGTTTCACATTAATACACGTAAAACAACGAGAGTAAGTATCGATAACCTCGGTGTTTCACATTAATACACGTAAAACAACGAGCTCAACGTTCTCTCCTTCAGTCCCAACATGGTGATCCACGTGTGCGACGAGACCAAGAACCTGAAGCAGGACTTCACGTGTCCCAGAGATCTGCTGGTGAAAGAGATGCGTTACTTCGCCGAGTACTTGTCCGTGGACGCCCAGCGGTGGGAGGAGGTGGACATCTCCGTCCACTGCGACGTGCAGATCTTCGACTGGCTCATGAACTACGTGAGGAGGAACTCCGCGGGAGAGGGGAACAAGGACAAACCCCGACTCGGTAAATCCCTGGAATTAAAAACCATAACAGACACATCATTATTACACATGGGGATGGCTGTCACTACCTGTCTGTGTAAACCCGTGGACGGAGGTTACTGGTCACTGAACGTGGCGTGTGTTTGGTGGGTCACTGGCTGCGTGTTCTGTGTTGTTTGTTTGTTGGTTTGTGGGGTTTGCTTGGTTGGTCATGTGGTGTTTGTCGGTTACAGAGCCCAGCAATGTGATCTCAATCCTGATCTCCTCCGAGTTCTTGAAGATGGATACGTTAGTAAGTGTTGTGACGTGTGACGCTCAGTGTGGTGATGTGCTTCGGGCCTGTTGTTTTTCAGATTGGTATGCGGCCCCTTCGGCAGCAACATAATCCCAATAATAGTCTTAAAAACCTTTCTTCGAGAGGCTTTAATGTCTTTCTGTGTGATTGCAGGCTGTCAGGAGATGTTATACATCTATAAACTTGATATTTTTTTAAGGTAAAATGTGACAAAACAGTATTTTAATAAAGGACTGGAGTTAAATCTCGTTCTACAGATTGAAGAAAACATTTTAGTTGAGTATAAACCTCTAAAAATTAACATTCATATCACAATATCAGTCAAAATAATGACAATATGATGTGTTTATTATCATGCAGCCTTTAGCAAACACGCATGAATTACTTAAATTAACTTAAATTCATCTGTTTGCACCTTTACATCCTCTTTATTTACAGTAATGTCTCTCAGAGCTGCTCAAAAAAAGATAATTGGTGATCTCTCCGAGTCCCAGGAAAACAAGAGGCCCATGGTAGAGCTCTGTTAAGTTGTTGTTGCATGAGTGTGTAACAGTGTAGAGTTTAGTCACATTGTACCATAAAGTAGTGTTTGATTAGTATTCGTGTAGGAGAACTGAGACTTGTACCGCCGCCGTGAACGGGCGTGTAAGAGCGCTTCGTGTTTTGTCCGTGTTCAGGTGGAGGAGTGCGTCCAGTACTGCCACAAACACATGAGCGCCATCGTGGCCACGCCCTGCAACATGAACTGCATCAACAGCAACCTGGCGACGCGCATCGCCGAACTCTTCAACCACAACGAGGCCGACGACATCCGCGACAAAAAGGACAAGTTCAAAAGGTAAAACGAGGTTGGGGGCGCGAGGAATCAGGGAAACGGACGTCTGCGATTTCCGCTTTTATTTGTGAGAGTTTTAAAAATGCTGGAAATGAAAATCTTTGTTTTATTTTCCTCTTAAAGTAAATTGTTTCAGAAGAAGATTGAGCGTCTCTTCGATCCCAACTACCAGAGCAGAGATTCACCAGGAAACGCCTCCACTCTCTACAGGTGAGTCCACCGGGCCACGGGCAACGCTCCTGATTCCTCCAGCGGCGTCTCTACACTCTGCTCTGTGATTGGTCTGTTTTTAAACACATTGGCAGGAAGTCAGACAAAAAAACAGCAAAGAGAATCCGGTCAATTTTCAAAATAAAATACCCTCTGCAGACTCCAGGATTTCATGCTACATCAAAAAAGTATAAAATAACAACAATAAAGTCAATTAAATGAGACAAAACTACTACTATTTAACTCCTCACCCAGAGTAACTACACACTGATATCAGGGAGAAAGGACAAAATATACAAGTCAACCACGTCAGGCCGGCGAGAAATGCTGAAACACTCATGAGACAGATAATCTGTGATTTAAATCAGGTTCCTCTGGTTCCTCCTGGTGCTCCTAAAGTCACCTCCTGCAGCTTTAAATGCAGAGTTTGTGTCTGAGACTTTTATTCTTGTGTTCTCTTCGTATTGTCGACAGTTTGGTTTTCACTATCTGTCGTATGTGTGTGTGTGTGTGTGCGTGTGTTTAATCTCAGGTGTGGTCTGTGCCTTAAGCTGCTGATCAAAGACACAGAGAGGAAGATCTCTTGTGTTCCCGGGAAAATCAACATCGACGCTCGCGGAGAAATCATCTATACACACATCAGGTATTACAGCAGCTATTCAATGTGATGAAGCAGCATCCTACTGTATCTATATCTATATATAGATATATATATGGAGATATTTATTTATATTAATGTACTCACAGTGTTTGTTCAGCTGTCAGTCGTCGTACATGAAGAACAGAACGATCCCTTTTACCTTACATATATGATATTCAAACGTTTACAGACAGAAGAACTGGGATGTGCATGAATATCTCACCGGTCTGTATGAGGAGCTCAAGTCCTGGGTCCTGGTCTACTGGAGAATCTGGGGTACCATCAACTTCCTCACCTGCTCCCGGTGCCAACAGGTGTGTGTGTGTGTGTGTGTGTGTGTGTGTGTGTGTGTGTGTGTGTGTGTGTGTGTGTGTGTGATAGATGCACAAGTAAGCAAGACTTCAACCTGAGCACTGATTACACAGAATATTCAACCTCAAACTTACTTAAACTTACTGTGTGTTTACGTGTGTGTGTGCGTGTGTGTTTACGTGTGTGTGTGCGTGTGCGTGCGTTCAGGTGTTTGTGTGTGCAGAGCTGACCCATTGCAGTTACCACCCAGACAGTGTGCTGTACCCTGGCATGAGTACAGAGAAAGGCTGGCATGGTGCAGGAATCTACCCCTGCTGCAACCAGAGGGTTCTCCGCTTTGACCCCAGTGGTATGCCCAAGGTATGGACACAACACACACACACACACACACACACACACACACACACACACACACACACACTTTATCCCTGTTGTGTGATGATGCCACACTGTTATTTTTATTGGCCCCAGTAGTTTCAGCTGGGAGGTGAGCGGTGAGTTCTAACAGCTTTAATAAGGAAAATAAACTCATTTGTTTTCATCATTAATCAAAATACAAAAAATACAACTGAACACCTGAATTCAAGTACAACCTTGAAATAGAGTCTTTTACATTCATATAATCAATACAACAGAAGATTGTTGCTCTTATTTACAAAATAAAACATAAAAAACACTGAAACCAAGAATTTTAACCATTGACAATCTATTAATAACTCTATTAATATCTATACTATTAATACACAAATGCAAAATAAAACTAATATTTAGAATAAAAAATACTAAATCCTACTCCTCCTGTCTAATGGAGGGCTCAATAACATCTGTCTGATCCACTGAGTGGTTTTTAGTCTACAGCAAGCAGAGGTCAGGTCTGATGTTAAGTCTGCAGTATTAGTGGATGAAACTCATGTGAAGCTGCGTGTGGAAGCTTGAAGAAGTGCTGACTCGGTGTGTGTGTGTGTGTGTGTGTGTGTGTGTGTGTGTGTGTGTGTGTGTGTGTGTGTGTGTGTGTGTGTGTGTGTGTGTGTGTGTGTGTGTGTGTGTGTGTGTGTGTTCAGGGCTGTAAGATGCGAGACCACATAGTGAACGTACCGGACGAAGAGAACTGTGACGAGGTGACCTTAGCCCAGACCAGAGTCCTCAACGACCTGCTGCTGCACAGAGACGCAGTGTGTCTGTCCAACACACCGCCTGCAGAGGGGTGAGACAGTGTGTGTGTGAGACAGCGTGTGTGTGTGAGGCTCCAATGAATGAATGAATGAATGTTTGTTGTGTTTGTGTGTGTGTTAGTAGCGAGGAGAGTCCATCCAGTGCAGAGAAGGTTCAGGACTGTGACGTTCTCTTGGAGCCGATGCTGCTCGGACCTCTGAGAGGAGACGGCAGCTCTGTGAGTCTCTCAGTGTGTCTCACTGTCCTCCTGCCAGTGTGTCTCACTGTCCTTCTGCCAGTGTGTCTCTGTGCATGTGTTTCTGACTTCAGCTCTTTTCCTCTTTCCGACCAGTTTTCCCTTTTGAAAAACTGGAGTCTGCAACTGGTACGGCTTCTCTCTCATTGCCTTCATTACATCTGCTTATATTACTTATATATATATACTGCCGACATCCAACTGTATGCAAATCATCTTTTATTGGATTAGTCAAATGTGTGAGTCAGTGTGTGTGTGTGTGTGTGTGTTAAACGTGTGACCTTTGCCCTTCCAGAGGCAGCAGTCTCTCCTCTCAGAGGACGAGGAGTACACCACGGGGTCGGAGGTCACTGAAGATGAGGTTGGGGACGAAGAGGAGCTGTCCAAGAAGCAAGGTGGCTCATTCTGTGTTATCTTTATGGTCAATAGTCAACAACAGAATCTGGACCCATATCTGAGTTTGATCTGAGTTCAGTGCGTTAGTAAGAGCAGTATGAACCCTGTAATCTGAATAAGATTACCTATAGTGGAGTGTAGAGTTGGAAACTCGTCTGAAGGAAATAATAACAAGTCACAGACGTATTTGCCTCATTAAAATGCTGCAGCGAGGTTTAATTACAGGCTGATAAGTGATCCCGTCATTACTGTTCCAGTCTCGTCTTTTAATGACAGTTTAATTGCAGTTTATGTGGTTAATTGCGCGCTATCACAAAAACCTTCGGAGCGGCGGGGCAGCGATCGGCCGTTATTGTGATGCTGAGAGCACGAAGGGCGATATAAAAGCTTCTGTTGGCGTTTCTTGTTGTACGCTGAATCTACTTTCATTGTGTCTTCTTACATCAGACACTCAGTCGCGGTTTGTAGTGTTAAATGAAGAATTAGAGAGGAGACAAACACAGGAATGAACGGCCTTTAATCAGGTAACGTACGCTGCCTTCAGGTGATCGTTTGCTGGCATTCTTAATGTTTCTGTTGTTGTTTATATGTTTATTTCTGTTCCCTGTGACTCTGGTAGCAGCTTCCCTTCAGCACTGACTAGTAGAAATGATAAAAGCAAAACGAGGACACATTTATTTAAAGCCCGTCTCCACTGTTCCACCCTCTCTCTACGTTTTCATCACGTCTATTTTTAACATTTCATTGTTATTTCCAGCCCTCCTGTGTGAGGATGGAAGCAGTTGCTCTCTGTGGCCAGCAGGTGGCGTCAGACACACTCATCATGGGGGTTTTTGTGTTTTTGTGTTTCCAGCTGCTAAGAAGGCCAAGAAGACCCACAGACCTCTGAAAAAACAAATGTCCTCTCCAAACTTCCAACGCAAGGACAAACCAGAGAAAGTGAGTCAGCAGATTGATCATTATTCAGATTCCTGGTCGGAGTAAAATCCTGCAGGATGCTACTGAGTGTGTGAAAGACTTTGTTTGTTCTCTCTTTTGGTTTTATGGTACAACGCAGTGTAAAGCTGCAGCTTAGTGCACGCTGTCGCTCTGTAACAGGGGTTTTAATTCCATTCAGGACCTTAAAGATGAAGAAAACCTCTGAAATATGGAAACAGAGCTCCTGTTTTTAATAATACAGTGACTTTTTATTTTTAATGAGTATGTAAAATTACAGTAAAGCTGTTTATAATATAATATATAATGCTCAGTACATTTTTTAGTGACTGTTTTGCTTTTTTCTACTCAAATAAAACACATTAAAAAACTTTAAAACCTTCATTTTATGTTTTCTAAGTCAGATTTTCTTTCCCTCAGTCGCAGTCGAGGGACAACACACCGTTCACGTGAGTTCACCTGCAAACACGAGACAACCTCGTCACAATGTGAGGGAGGGAGTGTGTTCGTGCTCGGCTTTCATTTCACTTAAATGTTTTTATTTTGTTCATTTCTACAGGGACACACATTTATTAAAGTTAACCAGAGTTCTCTAACTGTCTGACACTGTGAGGATAAATGATTCCCTTATGTTCCCATAAGTCCTGGAAAATTTGATTAAATTTGCCTCAAATTCTGGAAATTATTTACATTGTCCTGGACATTTTTGTGTTTTCTCTCCTCGAGCACATCGCCAACATTTCCTGTAAAACAAAATAAATTTCCCAGGTTTCAACTGTTACAGGTTTCCCACTCGTCCTGGAAACACCTGAAAATTGATTACTGTGATGAATTGTGTGACACAAGCAGGTTCATATGAGCGTTTGTTATCCAGTGCTGTCCTGTAGTGTCAGGAAAAACTCCTTGTTATAAAGAGCGGGAACCCTGTAACCACCTGTGATAATAAAGATCATTGTTATGTTAAGTTAGCCCTAGCTCACCACAATATGTGTATAATTTCCCTTTTTATTGACTCTGAGCTGTTTGTTTTGTAGAGTGAGCGTCCAGAAGAGTAAGTGGGACAGTTCTCGCTCAATGAGATACAACCAGGACGCTCAGAGGGAGGAAGGTAAAGGAGAAAGATCATTATTACGTCATTATAACGTCATTAATACTTTGATATTTTTAGAGTTTTAATTGTGGCGTTTCTGTCTGTTCTCATTCGGCTCAGATCAGCGGCGCATGGTGGAGATCATCGGCCACCTCACTAAGATGAGGTTCGGAGACCAAGAGCAGAGCAAGTCTAAGGATACTAAAGAAGTAAGTGTGTGTTCATAAACACACAGAGACACACACACACACACACACACACACACACACACACACACACACACACACACACACAGTGTTAGTGGAAGTGTGTTTGTCTTATTTCACATCATGTGCTCAAGGCTGAGCTGTCGGCCTGCTGTCCTAGTTGTTGCAGCTGGCTGATTGTTGTGTGTGTGTGTGTGTGTGTGTGTGTGTGTGTGTGTGTGTGTGTGTGTGTGTGTGTGTGTGTGTGTGTGTGTGTGTGTGTGTGTGTGTGTGTGTGTGTGTGTGTGTGTGTGTGTGTGTGTGTGTGTGTGTGTGTGTGTGTGCTTGCAGCCTACAGGAGGAATCTACTCCAGACTGGAAGCCCAGTTTAAGGGTAACTCTCAACCCAGACAGAGTTCAGAGAAGACACCCAGGTACTCTCTCTCTCTCTCTCTCTCTCTCTCTCACACTGACACACACACACACACACACACACACAGACACACACACACACACACACACACACACACCAGGGTGTCCGCAGGTTCTTAAAAAGTCTCAAATCCAATAATCTGAATTTTAGGCCTCTATTTTTGTGTCATTAAGCACAAAAGTAATGACGAATACAAACAGTTGATTAGAAGTTTTCGGGGCTTCTGGTGACATAAACATGTACAGAAACTGTGTTTGTTTGTTTGTTTGTTTGTTTGTTTGATGTTTTTAATGGAATTATGTTCAGAATATTGTGTTTGTTGTAGAACTTGAACACTGAAGTTTGAGTTGGAGCCTCCTGCATTAAAGTGTCCATAAATCTGATTGTGAGGAAGTTATTAACTTAATTATTAAGTGCAGCTTTAAATAGCATCAATAGTGATTATAGACTAATGAAAACATTCCTGTTCCTGCCAGTAGATAAATGTTACACACTGGACCTTTACCCTGACAAATAACACAAACTAATAAAAATACACTAAAACAAGCAAACCCAGAATAAAAACTCTACTAACTCATCACGTCGTTCAATAATCGACCCTCGCCTTCTTCCTCTTCTTCCTCTAGGACTAAAATACGCTACGCTCAAATCAGGACAACATAAAGGACCCGATGAGGAGAAGGCCTCCGAGCAGCGTGAAGACAGATGAGGATGAAGAGGATCCTTCTTACTGGCAGTGACCCCCCCCCCTTCCCTTCTAGCACGGCCACCACTCGTAACCCAGCTGTGGACCCCGTCCCCCTCAGTCCCCGTCCCCCTCCCTCTTTGCTTAACTCAGGTGACTACGTATGGATCACCGCCACCCGCTCCCTCCGTCGCTCAGCTAGCTTTGTGTTTGTGCAGCTGCGGTCAGACCGCCAAAAAACCAAGGAGACGTCCAGCTCCGCTCTTAGGAAACGCACTTGAACTGATCGACCTCTCGGTGTGTCTTTAGGTTATTTTTGGAGCCAGACAGGTTGGGGGGGGGGAGGGGGTTCCTACGACATGATCTGACACACTAACGGGACTGAAACACTAGTTTAATAAAGTCACGCTGAAGTTCTGCTAGAGATAGAGTTCTAGTCGTTCCTGTTTGTACTGGAATGTAACTGTGCTGTAAAACACTGGGACCAATAAAACATGAGTGACACTGAACTCTTCATCACTTACACCGGTGCTTCTTTATTTAAAGGCGCGCTAGAAAACCTCAAACATACACACTGGAGGCCGATATCTCTGCATCAGGGTCTTCTGTGAGGAAGAGTAAATTGTGTAATAGAACAAGGCCAAGAATCAGGGACAATAAAACACTGAATTTATCAAAAAAAGTAAGTTCAAAATGATAAAAAATACATAATACAGACAGAGAAATAATCTGCTCAGAATCTCTGATTTTACACAAAGTTACTGAGTCCGCTGTTTATCAGCTGTTGTTATAATTCAATATAAGATATAATATCTATAACATTTAGTTTCCTCAGTGATAGAAACGGGAGTTATTTAAGTCTTCCAGTTTCTGTCCACTAGGTGGCAGTATATCTCCTGGGGGAGGGGGGGGGGGGAAGAGTTGCTGGGCTCTCAACAATCAACTTTGCCCCAGTTTGACCACAACCTGTCACCTCTGATCCAACTCGCTACCAGGTGACCTGGAAGGAAAGTGTTCAGTGATCCAGGTCCTGGGTTTTCTTGCCCCAAACACTAAAAGTGTAGGGGGGGGTTCTTCCTGTCCGACTTACTCACAGAGGTATTAATAACCCACAGCGTAGACGCATCCAGTGGGCTAAGGGGGGGGGTTAGAGCGCACATTTTCTTTCTTTTTAGGTAGGTAGTGAATGGGTGGGCCCGGGATGGGGGGGCGCCCAGCTGTTCCCTCTTCTCCTCGACAGCGGATGCCGAGAGTAGCTGGGGATCTCAGGATCTGGGTCAGCGAGGGAGGGAGTGGGGGGGGGGGTCCAGTTACAGCCGGACTGAATTATGGTCCCAGAGAGATTGTCAGATATGAAAGCAAACATGTGAACTGATAATACAGCGGAGGAAAGAGATGCTGACTCCACCAGAGGCTGCAGGGCCGCCACAGACGTTAGGATGTGGGGCCAGAGCCAGAGCCTCATATAAAACCGGTGTCACTGGAGCCCGGCAGCTTCCTCCCTGGTTGCATCAGAGCTGACAGGTTGCGTCAACTTTCAGCGGCGGCGCGTCATCGTAACCTTTAATGTAATACCGGTATGTTAACGGGGATTAGCGGCGGGGTCGGCTTACACAGCAGCGCCAACCTTGGCCAAATATCTCGGAGAGGAAACGGCCGGATGCCGCAGCATAGTGTGACAGGTGACATCCATCATCATCATCATCATCATCATCTTCCTCTCCTTTTAGGATTTATGTCAGTGTGTTGGAAGAGAGTGAGGAGGAGAGTTTCCCAGTCAGATTTATAACAAAAGTTAACTCCAACCGAGCAGAGACCCAACAGTTCCCACCGTGAACAGGCACCTGGCGACAGTGGCAAGGAATCATTTATTAAAGATTAAAGGCAACTTGTTCCAGTGGGAATAAAATCTGGGATGTTTGAAGTAAGCGTAAACAAAAAGCTCTACGTTGCATCATCTGTTCTTCACTGCTAGAAACAAGTTTGGTGACGTACGACTCAACGTTTTAATGCAGGAAACTACAATTATCGGTCTTATTTGTGGAAAAGTTGCAACGTCTCACAGAATTCACTGGGATTGTTTGAACTTGTGAGTTTCCCAGTCAGAACCTGGATAACTTTTATTACTCGTACAGTAAGCTTTGTACTACTGGTTTAGTTAATGTGGGTGAATATTTAAAATCCCTCCAGGATCTCACAGACGCTCTTCTAAAACATTTGGATGCATTGTTTTGCACTGAGATTGCAGGAGAAAAACAAATTAGTTTAATTCATTAAAAAAATCAAAAGCAATTTGTTCCAGGGAGAAAATATCAGTTTGGATGTTAAAACTTAGAGCTTTAGTCGAGCCTGACAAAAAAAAAGATTCTGTATCAGTCAAATTACTGAGAAACTTTTAAAATATTGACTTTGTATCATAAACATTATTTTAAAGCAAGTTTCTTACAAAATATTTATTTTCTGTCACATTGGCACAAATGGGCTTGAACAAACGGTCTTGTGTGTGTGTGTGTGTGTGTGTGTGTGTGTGTGTGTGTGTGTGTGTTGAACTTTGATTGGCTTCCAAACTCGTTGCAACGTCACAAACAGTTTGTACTGAAAGCTCAGAGGCAGCAGAACTTTAATAAATAAATTCTGTTGCTGAAAGAAGAAATGTGAGCGAAGGCAGAGGTTATAAAATTCTCAACTTTAATCAGTTCAAAAAGTTCACAACAAATGTAACACCTCGAGAAGGGAAATCTGCCATTAGAGATTGGGTACTTATTTGGATTTATACATTCTTTTTCCTAATTAAACTCGCTGGCAATTCATTTGCTCTGTGGACAAAAAGCCTTTTGTTTATTTGGACAGAACTCAAAACAAGGTACAAATGAAAAATGCAAAAATACAAAATTAAATGTAAACCCAGTTTTATTTTTCATTTTGCTCTAAAGGTAGTGTCTCTGACGCACTACTGCATGGTAAACAATCTAAATTAGTACAATTCAAAATCTTCAAAGCCTTCTGAGTTAAAGAGGAGTTGTTATAAAGATGCAACCAACTATGAACCCATAAATACCTCCGCCACTTCCTTAAAACATCCCATAATGAAGGCTCACAAATGAGCAACAATCCTCTTAGAGGAAAACAAAACGCTGATGTCGACTAGGCGACAGCACACACGCGCACACACCCACAAACAAAAAGAAACAATAGAATAAAAGGAAATGTTCCCATGGTATTAAAGATGCTTTACAATCGGGATGATATGCACAGATTCGCTTTCCCTAAAAAAAACAAACAAAAAAAACCTGCCGGCTGAAGCCAAACACGTTTTCTTTATTTCTTCCCCAGGTGAAGCACAAACTCGTGAGCAACAGATGCCGACCACGTTGACGCAGCATCTCTCGACCTTCATTCATTATCCGTTAGATTCACATTCTCCCACAATGCCGTGGGGCAACCTAACAAGCGCTTCCCGTCTGTCACACCGCAGGTCTAGAAGCCTCTACGCCGACTTGACAGATAAGCCTTTTTTTTTTTTTCTTTTTAATTCCCCACAAAAGCCCTGCTCAGACTGAATATATATAATATATTTATATATAAACAAATATATGGGGGGGGGGGATGGGGAGGTGGAGGGAACAGAACGAGAAACAAAAAACAAAAAGAAGAAGATGGTTAAGTTGTCCTAACTGTTACAACCTCATCATGCAGGTGGTGGATGGGCCACAGAAGCGAAGGATTAACAGTTCTGGAAAGATATTACACAAAAAGTCTCCATAGAAAACGCAGGTTATGTAAAAAGGGCCACAGGGTGACGCGGTAATCATGTACACATTGTTGGCATTGTTTTGGTCAACAAACATCCAACGGGACGGCACGCCCTGCAGACGGCGAGTGAGCGGCCTCCCGCCACACTCAAGTGCCTCTCTTGGGTTTTTGTTGTGGTTGCTGTGGTTAGGGTTTGTTTGTTTGTTTGTTTGTTTGTTTGGAGTACTGTACAGTTTGGTTGAGCCGGAGCTCAGTCACACATCTCCTCGGGGATCTCGTGAGGGTTGAGGATGCCGGGGACCGACATCTGGATCTTGTGTTTCTCCTCCTGGGCCTGACGGAGCGACGCCTCCCTCTCCTCCAGGAACAGGTCCGAAGTGTCCTCGCCTGCGAACTCCTGGAGCGGCGGCGGCGGCGGGCGCGGCGGGCGGCGGGCGGGCGGGCGGGGGAGAGAAACAGAGCGGTCAGCTGAAGGTTCAACACAGTCACTCTACAGCCTGCATCCACATGTCCTACCTACCACACGGTCCGGCTTTATTTTAGTCTCGAGTCTTTCAGCTCTATAGGAGGTTTTGCTGCTTCATAATAAAAGCATTCAAACACCAACAACAACATTTGAGGCTTTTATTTTGAAGAATTAATAGGAAGTTAAATGTGTTAATCAGAGTGGAGCTCGGTCTCTTGATGCCTACATGATCATGATTGTTATTTGATCCCCGGGGCCCAACATGATGATTAAAAATATAATATAACCCAGCCCACCACATTATCATCATCCATCATCATCATCATCATCATCATCATCATCATCATGTAATTAGGTTTTTTTTCTAGTTGTTTCATATGAATTACAATACGAACACAATTCTGTTCCTGATGTTAGGAATGGGAACAGTTTAGGAGTTTGACCCCCACAGACTGGACAGCTGACCCAGGATCAGTTGAATTCTGCAGTTAGACTCCAGACTAAAGCAAATACAGAACTACAGTCAGTCCTAAGGCATTTATTAGTTTCTGACTTTGGGAAAAACAGTTGAACTTTGAACCAAACCACACACGTTTATCCTGCTCTGTGGGATCTTCGGATAAAGTTTACAGTTGTTATATTTCTGAGAGAGAAAGACATTTTTCAAACTGTCCAGTAAATGTTTAACGTTTCTGCTCAATAATTAACTTTAAGAATGAACTGGTTCTGAAAACTGCTGACAATAATTGTCTGACACCGACTGATCCACACAAGCTCTGTTTTATCTCTAATTTTAAGATTATAGTTTGGAAAACCACCGAACTGGACCAGGAAGCCCTGAACTCATCAGTGTGTCGCTGTGACACACAGTTAATAACGGTGAGCTGGCACAGCGGCCACAAACCTCTCATAGACTTAGAAGGACAACCTGGCCATGCAGGAAAATGTTATTTCTGGAAACAACAGCTAAGCAGCTAACTATGTTGTCCCTGATAACCTCTGTGTGAAGAGACAAAGCTCGCTCAGCACGGGGAACAAGCAGCAACGCCGCAGCTATCCGGGGCCTTACCAGACCCACGGATACTCAACTCTAACACATTAAACCTACCACCAGGAGCTTTAACTGGTTATGAAACTGTCTCCGTTTCATACTGATGCCTCTGTGTGACCTACATAAACAAATAAGACCATCAGAGAGAAGATTGGATGTTTCTGTGTAGTTATTCTTAAAGCCTGTCACTGGGTCAGATTGGAGGAGGTAGAAACCGCTTGTGTCCACAGGGGGCGCCAGAGTCAACAGAAAT